TCACAGAGTTCTTGTGAAAAATCAAATGAGATAATATACATAAAGCACTTTGAAAACAGGCTTTATAAATGGTAGTTATTATTATATCAGGACTTCTTATCAGTGACTCCTATGGGTATATGCCTAGCAGTAGAATATCTAGGTCAAAAGTATAGACATTTTAGTCACTATATTTGCATAATTCCAATTTGCTTTCTAAATTGGTTGTGCATCTCCAACACCCATGCACTCACTAGTGTACCACATTCTATTGACTTGTCTATATATATATATATTGGATACCAAATCCTTACCTCAGAAATTTGATAAAAAGAGATTTACTTTCCTACTGACTGCTTCTCCTCACCTGCACTGCCTTTGTTGGTACAGATAGCTGTTAACTTAATATAAAAAGTTACCTATTTTATCTTTTTTTTAATTGCCTTTATTCATTATGGTTTGCCTGTCTTTATGCCTTTAATTTTTCTCTCTCTCTAGTCTTATTGTTACTGCTAGCATTTTGAGAAATATATCAGTCAAGAATGAGAGTGGGCATTCTTGCTTTATTTCCATATTTAATAGTAAAGATTTTGATGTATCCCCATTGCATATATTTGCTTTTGATTTAAAATTGGTACTTTTTATGATGTTTCATTCTATATATATCCTTGTTTTTGGTGTATGTTTCTTGTAAGCAACAGATTGTGTTGTTTTATATTCTTTCTCATCTGTCCTTTACCGTGTGTGTGTGTGTGTGTGTGTGTGTGTGTGTGTGTGTGTGTGTGTAGCATAATCAGCTTTTAGTTCTGTTTTTCATTTCTCTGTTTCTCATTATCTTCTTTTTTGTGTGCTTGTTCTGGGTTTCCTTGTTGCCTTTCGAGTTTTAAAAAATGACTATTCAGTCTGTTAATCCTCTGCTTTTCTATTTTGTTAATATGTTTTTAGGGATGTAATTTTTTCACAAGTGAAATATTTTAGAATCCCAGAAATTCTGGTATATTGTTTCATCAATATCATTTTCTTTCACATAATTATTTTTCTATGATTTGTTATTTATCTACTCATAATTTTGTATTTTATTGCTAAATCCATTTGGGTCTGTGTCTTTTGTTTGTGCTTCCTAAACCAATTACTGTTCTTATTATGTAATGTTTTGTAGAGGATGTGCTTACTATTTCTGCCTTTTTTACATTTATTTGTTTTATCTTTATGTCATAGTATGGTAAATTTTTGTAAAATTTCCACATGCTGTTAAGAAATACACACTCTCTTTAGTAGTCCCATTTAGTAGACACCATAAGTGTAGTTTCTCCAACACTTTTTTCAATTCTATATTTTCTCTTTTGTTTATCTTTGTCAGATCTGTCCAAAACTGGGAGGACATTAAAGTCTCCTGCTGTCATGTATTACTGTCTATGTCTTCCTGTAATTTAATTTTTCCTTTATAAATTTAGATGCTAAAGCATTTGGAGCATATAAATTCAATATGAATATTGGTTTATTTCTACATTTTCTTTCAACATAAGTTCCTTGATTATCTCTTTTTATGTTGTAATTTTTTTTCAATATGATAGCAGGATTGAAATTCCTACTTTTTTTGGATTTACCTAATAGTACATTTTGTGCTAGTCCCTCATTTTCATTCTATATATATCCTTGTTTTTGGTGTATGTTTCTTGTAAGCAACAGATTGTGTTGTTTTATATTCTTTCTCATCTGTCACTTTCATATTATTGTATTCTTTAATCCATTCAGATTTATAGTTTTGCAAATTACATTTACATTTTCCTCCATTGTTTTTTCTGAATTAAATTTTTGTTGTTATACCTTTTCCTCTATAAAGAAAATATTTTGTTTCCATTTATTTTTGCTTAATCTATTTTAAGGCAACTCTATTCCACACTTTCTTCCCCTCTCCCCCAAGCATTTTTTCTCTCCCTCCTGTTTGTGATTCCTTTCCATAGTTTTGTAGTTTTACTTAGTTCTTTTTCTTTCTTCCTTTTATTTAATAATCTATTTCTTCCACTCTTTTTTGTTTTTCAATTAATTAAAATATTTGTCTTCAACTTCTTTTGGTTTTTTAAATTTCATCTTCTGTGCCTTTTTTTAAAAAGGATTTCTCCCCTCCCCCCGCCCTTGTTATCTTCATTAGTTTTCTTCATTTTCTCTTCTAGACTTTTTTTTTTATGGAATTAAAGTTTCTAAGGTACCTATTTTGAGTTTTCTTCTAAACAGCATCTATGTTATTGCTTTATAGATCTTGCATTCTCCCATTTTTTTTCTGTCATGCCTCAATTTTAAAAGTGTCAATTCCTGCAAGTGCTAGTGCCATTTACCATTGACTAGGATACATCACACAATTCCCTTTACTCCCACCACACTACTCTTTTGTGTACTGTCCCATTCTGCAGTGTTTGGAAACATAATCTACAGTGTTTCACATCCATTCTTCCATCATACCTGTTTAAATTCTGGTATTCTTCTTGTGGACTTTTAGAAAGAAATCTAATGCTGCTGCTCCTCCTCCTATACCACCTTTTCCTGTTATTGCTGTTGTTAACCTCGTAAGAGTCTTCCTGTTTCTAAGCTGTTAGGGGTGGTAGTGGAGTTCCATTTTTTTTCCTGGGGCAATTTATTTCTTTACTTGAACTTTCCTTGGTTTCTGTATTTGTTTTATCTTTCTTGTGTTTCTTTTGTATAGGGTTTTGCAAAGGAAATTATTTGCTCCTGTCCTTTTTTTCCTAACATTTCAAGTGCCTTTCTTGTTGAAGTTCAATTTTTTTCATTGATTATTAGGCTCAAATTTGCAGAGTATTGATTTGCATCTTGAGTTCCTTTGCTCTGTGGGCCATTATTCCACTCCCTTCTGCAGTTTATGTTGGGAGAGAAATAGTGTTATATTATTCAAATTGCCATTATTTGAAAGCCTTTCTCTTGCATGCAGAGTTTGTTGTCATTGGAATTGTTAAATTTAACCACTGTATATCTTAAAGTTTGCTGCATTGGTTTTTATTGTTGTTGTTGTGGTGGTGGTTTGTTGCTTTTTTTGTCCTGCAAGTGATCTGTGGATTCTTTCAATTGGTACTTTGTTTTCTATGTTTAGAAGGTGTTTTTTTTTTCTCGTATTATTTCTTGCATAATGGTGTTAAAGTTTTTGACTTGTCGTGTTCTTCTGGCAGAACTGTGATCCTTAAGTTGTCTTATGTATCCTGTCTTCAGGATCAATGTTTGTTTGTATGCAGATCATATTTTCTTTCAGCATCATTGCTTTTTTTCTTCTCATAGGTTGTATTTTGTTTTTGTGTATTTGTATTCCTAATAATTTGTCCTAAGCCTTTTCATCTCTCCTCAAGCTTCCTATTACATTCCCTCTTCCCACCCCTACCATTTCAGTTGAGAACCTCACTTCATACTTCACAGAAAAAATGGAGGCTATTTGAAAAGAGCTCCCTCTTTTTCCCTCCATATCTCATGTCACTTAAATATCTTCCTCATCTCCTCCTTTGCCATCTCTCATGAAGTGCTTTTCTTGCAAAGTTACATAGAAAGCAATCCTGATCCCATCCTTTCCTCTGTTCTCCAGAAAATTTGCCCTTCTCTCATCTATATTATTCCCCTCTTTAATTTCTCCTTATCCACTGGCTTCTTCCCTGCTGCTTATAAACAGGTTCATTTCTCTTCCATCCTTAAAAACCTTCTTGATCTCTAGTAAATGCTGTAGGCTATTGTCCTTTTTCTTCCCTCCCCTTTCTCTATTAGCCTCTTTGAGAAAGCTGCCTACAACTGAAGCTTCTATTTTCTCTCTTCTCCCTCAGTTTTTAACTCTGTATAGTATGGCTTTTGATCTCTTCATTGGATTGAAACTAATCTCTTCAGAGTCACCATTGACCTCTTAACTGCCAAATCTATGTGGTTTTGTTTCAGCTTGACATTATTCTCTCAATTCTTTGACTGCTCTTTCTCAGTCTCCTTTGCTGGATTTAAATCCAGGTCATTCCCATTAACCTTGGTTAACCCCCAAAGCTCTGTCCTGTGCCATTTTCTCCCTTTCTCCTTCCCAGCTTCCATAGGTTCAGTTATCTTCTGTGCAAATGATTCTTAGGTCTTTATGTCCATCCCTAAACCCTTCTGAACTCTAGCCTTATATCACCAAAAGCTTTTTTGAACATCTCAAACTGGATCTCCTGTGGTATCTCAAACTCATGTTTAAAACAGAACTTGTCCTTTTTCTACCTAAATCTTACCCTCTTCTAAATTTTCCTGTTATTGTAGAGGGCACTACTATCCTCCCAGTTACCGGGCTCCCAGTCTTAGTGTCATCTTCATTTCCTTGCTAGTAGTCATTCGACATTTCCTCTCTCTTGCCAAGTTTATTTCCATGGAACAAAATATCATTCATATATGTTCTCTTCTTTTCATTCACCACAGCCACTATTCTGGTACAGGCCCTTATCACCTCACACCTGGGCTACTGAAATAGCCTTATGGTTTGTCTCCCTGCCTTAACTAATTAGCATTTTTTAAGCAAAAGTGAAAAGTGTGGAATGCAAATCCAAACCTCAATTTACCAAAAGCCAGTCCTAACTTGCTTGTTATTTTCTCCATATTCTAGTCAATCCAATTAGCAATCTAAAATATGTGTATTTGGGATGAGGGAAAAAATATGGAATGCTTAAGTAGAAAACCTAGATTAGAACTAGTCCTGCTACTAATTACCTCTTTGACCTTGGGTAAGTTATTTAAATAATAAGGCCCTCATTTTTCCATATATTAAATGAAGTTGAAATAGATGCTCTCTATATCCATTTCACCTTTAAAATTATATGTCTTTAAGCCATCCTAAAAGGAATGTTTCAATTTTTGTGGCTGGAAATAATTAAATGGTTTTCTTAGTTGTAACTACCCTGCAGACTCATATATAAATAAATCTTAAGCAGACTAAATAAGTTGGTTCAAAGTTTTTGATAATTTTTTCTTTTGTAAGGTGGTATCGTTGATCAATTACTTGCAATTTTTCCTAGGGCTCGATTTCAAAGGAATACATTAGCATGAATGAAAATAATCTTTGTCAGCTTCAGAACTTTGGTGAGTAAACATTGTAATTTAATGACTTATTTTATCCTCACTCTAAGTACATGTTAGTTGTTAACATTTTCAAAAGGTTAAATTAACCTTTTTTAAACCAGCATTCTTGTTTATACTCTATTTCACCAGCATCTTAGATTCCTGACTATAAAATTAGGAGTTTAGAATAGATGGTCTCTTTTAAGTTCTAAAAATTCTGTTTTGTAGTTCTAAAAGACCTCTTTTTGAAGTATCTTGATATTTCTAATAGTTTTGAATGACCTGAGTGAATTGAAAAACCTGGTTATTTCAAACTCTCTGTAAATGGGCAAGTTTCAACATGGAATGTAAGTAAACATTATAACAAAATTTCACTTGCAACAATTAGGATGTAATATTGAATTCAATTAGAATTAGAATTTTACTTTTGATACCTACCTTAAGATCTTGTTCTGTGCTTTTGTATCTGTACGTACATTATATTTTATAATGTATAGTATTAGATTTAATGGGATTGGGTCACCTAAATGTTTTTCTTTTCCATCTGTTCTTTATAAAATGTTAGGGTAGGGACATTTCATTCACTGTTGTTTTCCCAACTGTCCTCCATGGAGATGGAAAGGAATAGAAGGGACCCTGAAGTATACTGTTTATTGGTAATTAGTCCAGGCATATTTACATCTTTTACAACTAGCTTAGTAAGATGAATCCTTTTTAAGAAACTTTACTCAATTACCTCAACCAAATATCACCAAAAGTGATATTTCTCTTCTCTTTATATCTCTCCTATATCACTTACGGTACATTGGTCCTGTATATTGTCATCTGATACATAGCTCTTGTTTTAAAATACATTTGAAAATATCTTTCACTCTCAGCTTGTGTTCTCTGTCGAAGAACTGATGACTATCCTGAAAAGTATGGAGAAAAGAAAATTTACCAGGACCACAACCTCACTATACATTACTATTGTTTGGTAAGTATGATTGATATAAATCATTCGAATTTTTAATTCTTGGAAAAAATAAGGCTATTTTTGATGACTGGCAAATTGGCTAACTCCTCCCTAAATTTTACCTAAACTAGGCTTTGTAAAATGAGAGTATTTATTTAGATCAGGGTGTGAAAACTATAGCCTAAGGGCCAGATCTCACCTGCTGCGTGGTCTGTGTGCTAAGAAATGGTTTTTATATTTTTAAATACAAGAACATTTTATTTAAAAATGTAAACCGTTCTTAGCTCATGGGCCATACAAATAAAGTCTACTTATGCTTTTTTGTCTAAAGAATTTCATGGTTAATTTTTATACAATTTCTAGGTTGTGGAAGATTTTAATGCTAATGAAATTTACTTAATTACAGTAGCATTTAATGGACTTTACCAGGTATCAAGCCATAGGAGCTCAGTTGTTGAAGAAAAATGTTGCTTAAAATTATCTAGTGCTCAGTATACTAGAATGTTGAAATTAATATTGTTTACTTAAATTAATACAAAGTAGCTATAGTAGTAGTAGTAATAGCTAACATTTTTATAGTGCTGACAGGTTTAAAAATTGCACAACATACATTATCTCATTTGAGTGTTACAATACTCTTTTTTTTGTTTGTTTTTTGTTTTTTGCTAGGCAGTGGGGTTAAGTGACTTGCCCAGGGTCACACAGCTAGTAAGTGTTATGTATCTGAGGCCGGATTTGAACTCAGGTCCTCCTGAATCCAGGGCTGGTGCTCTATCCACTGCGCCACCTAGCTGCCCCTCTCATAACACTCTTGTGAGGTAGATATTATTATCCTCATTTTGCAGTCAATCAACAGGCATTTATTAAGTACAAAGTATGTCCCAGGCATTATACTAAGGGCTGGATATACAGAGACAAAAGTGAAACAGAGCTGTCTTCAAGGAGCTTATATTCCACTGGAGAGACAACATGTACATACGTTGGCATCTATAAGACCTATACAAAGCAAATACAACATAGCCTTTTATGGGAAGACATTAGTAGCTAGGGACCAAGAAAGAACTCCTGCAGAAATGTTGAGCTGATTCTTAGGGGGAAAGGAGAATTCCAAAGAGTGAAAGTGCTGACAGGGGAGCATTCTAGGCTTCTAGGGCAGTCAGTGAGTGAGTCGGCATGAAGTTGGAAAGAGCTTTATGTATGAGGAACAATGAGCAGGCCAGTTTGGCTGGCTTGTAAAGTATTTGGAAAAGAGTTATGTGTAAGAAGACTTAAGGAGGTGGGAAGGGGCCAAGTTGTGAAGATCTTTAAATGTCAAATGGGAATCTAAATTGGTCCTACAGGAGGAAAATAAAAGCTTAGACAGTTTAAATGACTTGCCCTATGTCATATTGCTACTTCCCAAGGCCATCTTTGTGAAGTCATAGATTTGGTCTTATAACCTCACAGTATGGATGAAAATAAATGTTGTAAATTATAAGCAAACACTGACCCATATGGACCCTATGGTAGTTAGTTCTTTCCTTGTCAAAAAAAAAAAAAAGCTGAATTCAGCGCCAGCATTCAGCAATACCAAGAACAGAAAGGCCAGACAAACCTTGAACATCAGACACCTTGTAGTCATAGCTTCATTTTACTGACTGTATCTGACTTTGGTCCATTGAATAAACAAAGAAAATTTACTAAAAAGGGTTCTAATGCCTCTGTTGCTACTATTGCTCATTACTGCTTGTAAGGTGGGTTTAAAAGTAAGCAAAAGATTCCAGATCTCTCTCTCTCTCTCTCTCTCTCTCTGTCTCTCTCTCTCTCTCTCTCTCTCTCTCTGTCTCTGTACATGTATCTTTGTGTATGCAGTTTTATCTCACAGCTTGGGGGAATGGGTGAAAACTTCAGATTTTTTAAAAAAATTGTGTTAAAATGAGTATTTTTTTCAGATTTTTTTTCTTTTCCTAGGATGTTAATAAACATCAACATGAATATTTCAATATTCAAAGAATGATGAAAGGAGACTGTATATGAAACTACTTCTTATATACAATTTGTCTTTTTTAGGGGCTTTCTGAATTCTTGGCATATAGTAGGTACTTAGTGAATATTTTGTTGGATAATTGGAAAATGATAATTGAAGCAGGTGAGATCAAGGGGGGAAAAGTATAGGGGAAAAAAAGAGTACAAAAGAGGGCTAATGCCTAGAACCTTGGAATACTTTCAGGGAATAGAAGAAGCAGCAAAGGGACACCAAGAAGGAATAGTTGGATAAATTGAAAGAGAACCAGGAGAAAGAAGTTCATAGAACTCAAAGGAAAAAAGAGTATCAAGAAGGAAAGAGAGCGGAGTAAAAATGCTGCCAATCAAATGGCTTTGAAGTTACAGTCAGATACAGTGAATAAATATATATATAGATCCAGGTACATACAAGGAGAGTAAGTTGCTTCAGAGTAATCCTAAATCTCCAACATTCTTCATATTCTTGGAATATTATTTTCATATTATCTGTAAATTAAATATTTCCTCACAATTCACACTTCTCTGTTGATTTTTTAAAAATGTTCACTGTATCTAATCCATGTTAAGTTAGTAACTTAATAATTTTTGTTGTTTTCTATACACTAAGAAATGCAACTTTAAAAAAATTGGTCACAACACCTGTAATATATACTTGCTTTTAAGTAAAGGAGCTATAGTTATAATAAAATAAAAATTTAATAATTTTGTTATTTCATATGCTTTTTCTATGATGATAGTCATACTGAGAAGTCAGCATTTGGCTGATTTGTCCCAAATTGTATGTAATTTAATTAAAAATTTTATCTTAGGTACCAGGAACAAATGCTATGGGAAGACAAATGATAAGAGGAGTCAGGCTTTAGTTGCAGCTCTGTACCTCCCATTATGGTTGTTACATCCCTTTTACTCTTTCCTTAAAAGGAAGTTAGCAAGATCGTCAGCTAAACTCATCCCTGAAGAGGTTGAACCTGAACCCAAAAAGATAGCATAGAAGATAAATTGGGGGAAATGCATAAAAAACGTGACTTACCTAAAAGAGAATAAAGATGATTTGCTCAAATGAAATGGAAAAACTAAAAATGAGGAGGCTCCAGACTCTGATTCAAAAGGAAGGAAAGAAACCAAGTCGTTTTTCACTTAACTGTGCTACTTCCTTCTATAATTGATGGAAATTTTTAAACCAGCTTTTGCAAATGAAAGCTCTACAGCAGGGGTGGGGAACCTGCCTTATTCTGTTTTAATCTTACATATTTATAGAAGTATAAATGCCATTTTAAAAAAGGAATATAATGTTCTGACTTTTTTTTTATACTGGAATTTAATTGAATATTGATTATGGGAGATCCATAGGCAGTATTTATAATTTGCAAAATGAAACATAACAGAATAAAAATAGAGAGTAATAACTATGACTTTTAAAGATCTTAATTTAAATACTTGTCTTCTGTGTCTATCTTATCTTCAGTAGAAGTATTTCCTGAATGAAACTTCCCCCAATCTCAGATCTCTCTTTGATAATAGTGTGCTAACTGTAGCATTGTTATATTTTTAGTGGTTGTATTAACTTCTTCCACTAACTTTGTTAATGTGCTGAACAATATTGGAAAACATTATATTTGCAGAGAGTTCAGTTTTACAGTTAGTGAACTTTTCTTTGTAGAAGGCCTAAAACCTCTGTAATATTAAAGACACTGGTACTAAATGTCCTTGTTTTAGGGGACACTTGCTTCTAACCCCAAAAGCAGAAAAGTCACTGAAAAAAAATGGTTTAGGAAGGGATTACATCTACATATTTTTTTAATGTTTAATACTGGCATTAAAAAAATATACCCATTGTTCATAGTATCTGTGTCCTGGTGACTATGCAAGAACCAATGAAATCTTTTTTTTAATATTTTAAAAATAACTACTTTTACCTCTTCTTTATTCTCAGTCCCTGGTTGGTGAGGCTGTGTGATAATGTAGATAGACACTGGCAATGGAGTCTGAAGATTTGAGTTCAAAGCCTGTCTCTGATACTTACTACCTGTATGACTTTAGGCAATTTTACCTTCCTGAGTCTCAGTTTCCATATCTATAAAATATTCAAACTAGGTAACCTCCGAAGTCACCTAGAACCATAAAGTTCTAAATCTTGTGATTCTAATATAATCTGTGAACCTATCACAATAAGTTACCTAAATCAAAGGACATAAGTATTATCTTGCTTTGTTGGCATGAAAAGTAACCACAGGAATTAGTGTACTTGATATTTGTGAGGTCGCATAGCTCAAGAAGCTAATGAGAGACACCCTTTGAAGAGGGTAGATATTTTGCTCAAAAGTAGGTTGTCATGTTTTATTTTCTAACTTAAATCTGTTTTCTTAGTTGATGTCAAGTGGAATTTGGCAGAGGGGTGAAGAAAAAGAAGGTGTTTATGGTTTTCTAATAGAAGACATCAAGAAGGAAGTAAACAGAGCTTCTAAGCTGGTAAGAAGACGATTTTGAACATTATCTTAAATATATTTTATATAATTCATAAGAATTTTTTTTCTTTAAACATTGTTTACATTGAAAATTTCTAAGATATTAAGTTCATGTTTTCATGCTAACTACTATGAAATATAGTAAATATTAGTCAATTATAATTTATAATCTTTAAAAATAAAATAGTGAGAAAGTGATCCTCAACAAAGTTAAATGCCAGTATTTCAGCAACCCTCCTTGGCCCAAGGAACATCTTAAACTAACCACAGTTTGAGATTTGGTGCTGCAAATCATAATAGACTGCAACCTGTCATAAGGAAATCACAACTTCACAAAACTTACATGAAAACTAGATTTATTACAAGAGAAATGAACATGCATGTGGAACCCAAAGAGTTCACAATCCATGCAGAAGTTTGCATTTTTATAACCACATGACAAAGGAAGGAGGAGACACTAGAAATCTCCATCTACAGGGGCATGGCATGGGAGGGGGAAAGTTGCAGTAAAGGTGGGAAAAGGATAAAACCCTTTGAGTTCTCTTGGAAACTGCTAGACCAGGGGTGGAGAACCTGCAGGCCTGGAAGCTACATGTAGCCCCTAGGTCCTCAAGTGCAGCCCTTTGACTGACTCCAAACTTAACAGAACAGACCCCCTTAATAAAAGGATTTGTTCTATACTTGAACTCAGTCAAAAAGCTGCACTCAAAGACCTAGAAGGCCACATGTGGCCTTGAGGCTACAGTTTCCCCACCCCTGTGCTAGACTATGAAGATAAGATGGTCTAGGGGGAGCTAGGTGGCACAGTGAATAGAGCACCAGCCCTAGAGTCAGGAAGATAAGATGGTCTGCTTATCTACAAGGGTCTCAGCTACGCAAGCAATTTCTCCACTTAGTACAGAGTGACTGGCACCAGTCTTGACTCCCAGGGACACACAGGGAGTCCAGCTTGGGATGTAAACAATACATTTTGTCACCTTTGTCCTTGACACACTCAGGGTGTCCTGCATACTCTTGAGTCTAGTGTTTTTAGAAAATATGGCAGTTCAAAAAGACAAGTTCAGAGAACCCCTTAACATTCCATAAGAAACCTTTCTTGTCAAATCCTATAAAATTATGAATCTTCCCATGTAGACCTCTAGATTTTTTTCTTCTTATTTTTTGTCCAAAAAATATGTTTCATTCTATACCCTGATTCTCAGCTACTTCTCTTTCAGAAGGTAGCATGCTTTATCATCACTCTTCTGGAATTATGATTGGTCATTGTGTTGATAAATGTTCTTAAAGCTTTCAAAGTTGTCTTTATGTGGCTGTAATAAATTATTCTCCCAGTTCCATTCACTTCACTCTTCATCAGTTCATACAAGTCTTCCTATACTTCTTTGTTCATATTATTCGTTGTTTCTTACATCCAGTTCATATTTAATCCTAGAAGCTCTGGGAAGCCATTGAAGTTGATTGAGTAGTGTAGTCACAGACTTACTGTCTGAAAAGAGCGTGATTTGTTTGTTTTTTGTGTTGCATTTCTCAAGCTCTGTTATTTCCCATAATAAAATATACCTTCATAATTTACTTCCTCTTCTCTACAAAAGATCATGGTGTTGTGGCTAGAGAGTTAACTTCAAAGTCAGGAAGATCTGGGTTTAAATCCTGCCACTGACATTTACTACAATCACATAAGCCACTTAATCTCTCAGTGCTTGAAATGGCTCGCTAAATAGTAAGTTGCAAAGAAAGTGCCGGCTAGCATTGGTAGAGGAGTTTCTTTAATAGTTCCCTAGACTAATGAAATTGCCGTTCTAGTCCATATCCCTATTAAACTAGCAGAGTATTGACTCTTATTTCTAGACCACCTCTAGAATAAATCAGAATGGAATGATAGTCTGAGTAGGAAACTTCTTAAGTCTTTACTTATCAAAAATACTATTTGGGAAAAGCAATTTTAATGTTGTTGAAAGGTATTCACGGGGGCAGCTAGGTGGTGCAGTGGATAGAGCTCCAGCCTCAGGAGGACCTGAGTTCAAATAAGACCTCAGACACTTGACACTTAAGTAGCTGTGTGACCCTGGACGAGAGTTACTCAACCCAGACTGCCTCACCAAAAAGCAAAAAAAAAAAAAGTATTCATTCTTTTCATTAATATCTTGGCTTTGCTATTTTAATGTAAATCTTTTGTAATTGGATTCATCTGAGATAATCCATGTTTTTCTGTTTGTTTTAGAAATGTTGTCTTTGCAAGAAAAGTGGTGCTTCAATTGGATGTGTAGCCAGCAAATGTAAACGAAGCTATCATTTCCCTTGTGGAGTTCAGAAACAGTGTATTTTCCAGTTTACTGGAAACTTTGGGTAAGTTTTTATTTTACTTTACTTTGAATATAAGGAAGAAAACATCTTAATTTAGTACATTTTAAATTCCCTGATAAAACAATACAATGCTGTGGAATCCCTGTCACCAGTAGTTTAATTTTTGCTCTAAGGAACTTTTTGTTAGTGCCAGTTTGGTATTGTGTCTACTTTTATCCCACCCCTACTTTTGTCCTCAAGTTACATGCTTAGCCTCTTTTTATTATCCCTTTCTGAAACTATGAATGAATCAATGAAAAAAAAATAAGTGCTTTCTATGTGCCAAGCACATATTATTTCAAAGAAAACTCTCCATTTGTTTGGCCTTAGGAAGAGGACTTTAACTTTTATAATGGAGGGACAGTTCACTTGACTTAAAGTTTAAGGTACATAATGCTACCACTGAGAGATAATATGTAATTATTCCTTTTCATATGCCTAGAGAAATGTAAAAATTAATTGCAGTTGTAGATTTTCCATTATTATATTAATTACAGTTATAACAATATATGGCACTTTTTCCAAAGAGCTAAGTATTCATACTGAGTAAAATATAAATGACATTCTGAAATGAGTTCTTGTATTATGAAAACTGTGTTTTACTCTCAACTTTGTTTTACTCATGTTTTATTCTTAACTTCAACTGAAAGGTTAGCCACTTCAGACTCTTTTTTCTCCTTTATCCTCTACATATAATCGTTTGCCAAGTTTTGCCAATTCTGTCTCCCCAGAATCTCTAGGTTCCATTTTCTTTCCTTATAGAGCCCCTACCATCAATCCTCATTGTCTGTTGCTAGATTGTTGTAATAGCCTCCTAACTGTTCTCTGCTCTCAGTGTCTTCTCTTGCCAATCCATTCTCCACAAAGCTACCAAAAGAATCTTCCTAAAAATACAGGGCTACCATGTCACTGCCATGCTCAAGTGGCACTCCATTTTCTGTAGGATAAAATGCAAACTCTTTGGCATATAAAGCCATTCATAATCTGTTTCTACCTTTGCATATCTTACCTTTCCAGACTGACTTCTCTTCATTTACTGAATGCTCCTGCCAGACTGGCCTGCTTGTCATTTAGCAAGTTTCATAACTCAGCGCGCCCATCTTTTGCTTTTTCATAGTCCTACCTCTAGAGGGTATGTTTGGAATCATCTCCATTACTACCTTCATATCTTATCCTTATTCTTAGCTTTCCTCAGATAAGGTTTTACCTCCCATTGGAAGACTTTCCTGATTTCCTTCATTATTAATGTTACCAACCATCTCAAATTCTTATGTATTTACTTATCTGCTTACATGCCATATCCCCAGTAAAATGTGAGCTTCTTCAGGAGAGTAACTTTTTAATTTTTGTCTTTTTATCCCCAGTTTCTAGCACAGTACTTTGCACATAGTAGGTGCTTAATACATACTTAGTGAATTGAACTAAATTGATTTGAATTTATATATTTTTTCCTTCTAGCCTTTTGGCAGTAATATGAGTATGTTCTTTTCACTTTTAATTAAACTGACATTTCAAGAAATAGATGTTGTCTTATACTTTAAGGATCTATAATTTCACAATGTCCATTTCCTCCAACAACATGGCATGACGGTTTTCAGGACGGTAGCTAAAACCAAACAAATAAAAAACCAAAAAACAACATCTTGAAGCCAGTTTGATGAACTCTGAATTTAGCTAGGTTTGTCTTTGGACAACAGATATCACTGGACCCATATTTGAAGCTTTCCTAACTCAATAAGACTTGCTAAACTTTGTCCTCAGATGTCATAACTGGGAATCTCGAGCCACTCCCACACCACGAAATGGCACTGGAGTAGTTATTTAGTGTAGTTAATGTCTTGTATTTAATACAAAGCAAAATAAATTTATTGAATGATAAGTTAAAGGGCTTTTTTTTAATCATTATTATTGTTGTAGGGAAGAAGAGGTTATTTGTTTGGAATTTAATTTTTATGCATGTAAGCATTTTGCCTTTAAGTTGTAAGTTTCTTTTGAGCATATGTGCAGTCTTATAGATTAGCTTACGAAATAGCACGCACACTCACGTTTTTATTAATCCAGTAGAACCTGAAAAATAACATTTTACTATAGCTCAGAATTCCATATATGGGCAAATCTCTTTAAATGCTGTGTTAGAGGCAAAACTGTAATGACTCTTAACATTAATGGCACAGCAGAAAAAATACTGGCCTGCCACTCACTGACCTAAGTTCTAATCCTATCCCAGCTGTGTAATTTAACCACTCTGAGTCTCTGATTTCTTAATTGTAAGGACAACATGATCACTAAAAGCTCCTTCCAATTCTAATTTGCTTATGATTCTATGAGATCCTTGAGAATAATGTTAAAGCAAGTTCCAATGTATTTCTTGGTTAATCATGAGAGAGACTTGAATGATTTATTTGTCTTATTTATGTAAAGTATAATTCTTTATCCCAAAGGTGTTTTCTATTTCATAATACGTTACAAATCAAAGTGGACACATTTTTTTCTTTAAAGATCATTCTGTTGGGATCATCGGCCTGTTCAGAATACACCATCTAGCCATTGTACAGTTTCTTCACAATGCACCATTTGTTTGGAATATGTTGAACATCTTCCAACATACAGCATTTTGGGAAGTCCTTGTTGTAAAAATGCATGGTTTCACAGAGATTGTTTACAGGTAAGATAACATGTTTGTGCTTTTTGTAATTTATTCAAAGTTTTTACTAATAAATTTGACTCTAAATTGTGGTAGAATTAGTCTTTTCCTTCTGGTTCCTATTTATACTTAGTTGAATTCTTTGAAGATCTGTAATTTTATCATGAATATACCTCTGATGGTACATGCTCTGGCTCCCTTTATATCATAATTGGTGGGCTTCCAGGTACTTTGGTTGAAAAATGAATCACCTTGAAGCCTCGTAACTTCTTTGAAATTATTCTAGGCTGGACCTTGGACAACAGACATATAGTCCATGACTGGTTGTATATTCAAATTCAGTCTAACTTAGTAGAACTTGCCAGAACTTGCATCCTGCTTACCTAGCTTTTGGGAACTTAGGGTCACCTTTATGTCACAGTGAGGCAATAGAATAGAATTTAAGTGATACATGTTAATATCATTTCCTCAAAGGATTTTGTGGGGAAGTAGGACAGTCTTGTCAATTTTAAATGCAACTCCCAGGCCTTGATTGAAGACCTTGTAAGGGGAACTACCTATTCCTTATTTTTATAGTTCTAGTATTTTTTTTAAGTCAAAATTAAATCTGCCCCTTTGGCAATTTACCAGTTGCCCCTAATTCTACATTTTGGGGCCAACAGAACAAAGTTAGTACCCTTTCTCCAGATTGGCACTTAGATACTTAAATATTACTATCATTTTGCCCCCAAGTCTTCTCCAGGTTAATATTCTCAGTTTCTTGCTATCAAGGCCCTGCTATCCTGTCACACTCCTGGACTCTCTTCAGTATTTTAGTGACTTTCTGAAATGTGGTACCCAGAACTGAATGCTGTTTTCTAGTTGAAGTCTGACCAGAGGAGGGTACAGTGGGATACTTAACTTTCCTAGTTTCTTTTATAGTGAAGCCTAAATTTTCATTAAATGTCTGGCTGCTTTGTAGCATTTTTGACTGATGTTGATTTTGTAGTCCATTAGCCTCTTATTTTTCAAACGTGACTATACAACAATTATTTTATCTCTACTAAGTTTTATATTCTATCAGCCTCAATTTTGTGCCTGGTGAAAAAAAAATTTATTCTTATTCTGAAATAATATTTTAATTATTCCTCCAACTTTGGCTCATATGCAGATTTAGAAAGCATGCTAATTATGCCTTCATCCAAGTTATTGACAAAAAGATTAAACTCCTTAAGGTCATACCTCTACAATTTGACATTGAATCATTAATGGGGCCATTCATTCTATTCATTTTGAACCCCCTAACTATGTGCTGTTGTTTTAAGTTTTTATGTCTTCATCTTTTCTGCATCTTTTCTGCGAAGATAGCATGGGAGACACTGAAGTGCATTGCTAAAATGTGGCAAACTATGCCTCTAGCATTCCCCAGGTTTCTATTCTAGTACCTGCCAGGAGAGAAAACAAAGTTCGCCTTCCATAACTTGTACTTAATGAAGCCATATTGGCTATTTGTGATCACTGCCTCCTTTTCTGGGTATTAACTAACCATACTTTTAGTAATTTATTTTGAAAATTTTGCTAGGAACCAACCTCACTATCCTCTAATTTTTGCAGACTCCATTTTTTTTTCTCCTTGGTAAAAAATTTGGACCAATTTTCTCTTCTAGTCTTGCCATATTTTTCCCATTCTCCAAGATACCATAGTCACATATATGTGTATGTGTGTGTGTATAGTATATAGAAATATATATATAGTGACTCAGCAATCACCTGCACCAATTCTTCAAATACTCTCTGCCTCCAGTATTTACCCCCTCTAATGCATCCAACAGCTTTTCAAGTAGTCTTTCCTGATACATAGGTCTGTGTTCAAAAACTTCTGGTTGGTTCCCTATTGCTTTAAGAATCAAACACCAACCTTTTAGGCTCATATTTAAGGCCTTCTACACTTTGACTCCAGTTTACCTTTATATTTTGATACTTATTCAACCTGGATGGACTTCACATCTCAACCAAACAGTACTGCTGGTTGTTATCTATCTGTATTTATGCCTTCATGGATTTGGAATAGCCATACCCTCATGTCCTTCTACATCTCTGCCTTTCAAAATTCTGTTCCTTCAGGGACCTGCTTAGGTGCCACTTCTCTCCCTGATTCCTTTCACCTTAAAGTGATCTTTTTTTGTTCTGATTCTCTCCTGTCATAATCATTATGTTTCTTTGTATAAATATAGACATTTGTATGTGTCCTGCACCCCTTTCCCTCCTTTAATCCCACCAGTTTACATGTAAGTTCTTTGGTAGGAGCTGTGTTTTTTATCACGTTTGTATTCCCAGAGTTTATCATGGTGATTGGTCCATTGTAGGCAGTTACACAACATTGGTGGAATTGAACTGAATGCCTCCTTTTGCAGGGCTTTGAGGGGAATACAAAGAAAAACAGAATGTGGGTCCTTACCTTTACAAACACAGGCTGGGCATTCAAACTCCTTATGCCTTTAACTTTTGTAATCAACTGTGGATTCAGTTGAAAGTGACAGTATTAATTATGTTTCCTTGGAAAAACTTCAAAATCCAATTTATTCCGCTACGGCAAACATATGAGATATCTCAGAACAATTCATAGGTATCATTATGATATTATGATTACCTGTTAATAAAAAAATTCATCATATGAGTGTTCTTGAAAAATTACCTCAAGGGTTTGATCATTCCATGTGTCATCTTGTTCATGTTTCATAAATTCCATTACTTTAGCAACAACAGTTCACTGTTCTTCATGACAGGTACATTTTTGGTTCAATTGTATTTTAATTGGCATGAAATAATATTTCCACATTATTTAAAGTAAAAAATAATATTTATTCTTTTAGAAATATAACTTGCAACCCAAATAAATGATTAGAATTAATTTTTTTTCCTACTTTCCATTATAGGTTCAGGCACTCAGTGCTGGAAAATTTTTCTTCAAGTGCCCATTATGCAATAACAGTGATAAATTTCAGAGTGAAATGTTGAGAATGGGTATTCATATTCCTGAAAAGTGAGTTGCATTTAGCTTCTTGGTGAATAAACAGCATTTTAAATGTGGGGCTTAATAACAAAAAATATATATGTGAATCTCAAGATTTCCCGACCCAGTCAATTATCAGATGGTAGCTATTACAGTTATTTGTATAATATGGGCTGATAGCTGTGGCAACTTCTGGCCATGCTGTCTTTTATGTCATTTGTTCCCTCCCTAACAGAATATATCAGCGTGCACAAGCTCATCATTGAAGAATTATTGGGGTTTCTAATTTGTAGTATTTCAATGTTAGTTACTAATAAAGATCTCAAAGATATCTTAAACTAATATTTTTCATGTTGTTACTAAATAATTTATCTTAGGTTCATTCTTTATAAAATTAAAAAATTTTCAAATAGCTTTGACTCAGAATAATATGGTAAACGCTTTGTAATCAGTTATGTCTAGGAATGTTAATATGAACAGGTGTTCATTAGATAACAAAATAAAAAGAGACTGGTCTCAGTGAATTAGAATTTAAAATTTTATCTTACTGTGAGAAAAAGAAAAGCTTTGAGAAACACAAGTTTGGCCTTCACATGAGAATTATTATAGATCACTTTCTATAGGTGGTATAATGGATATATACATTGGGACTGTGTTGTAGAAGTTTTTCTTAGACTTTTACTGTAAGTGTTTTTGGTATTTCTAGTAAATAAAAACTCTTTGAGTTCATTCCAAGATGTAACTGTTCTAAGTTTACATTTCTACTACAACAAGTTTTCTTTTGTTAAAATAATATAGTGCATATTCTTTTTATGATACCACTTATATACGCAACAGAATTTCTGTTCTTTTCCATAATTATCCATTTTAATGAATTTTTCTTGGAAGCCAGAGCTTAGCACTTATTTCTTATGCAAAATAATCACCAAGTGTTTGATCATGAAAAGTAGTTTCTTAACTACTTCATTTTACAGTTGGATAAATGCAAGTAACTGATATATTATGACACCTAAACTAATGGAATAATCTAAAATGGATAAATCTCATCCTATTATTCATTCCAGATAGTCATTACATCCCATGTATAATATACTTAGTATATGTAGTATGCTTAGTATAATATCCAACCTCTATTTACAATCAAGGGAAATGACACACAGGTTATGATTTCCCCAAGGCCACCATAGCAAGTAAAAAAAAAAAAAGCCAGGACTAAAATCAAGTATTACAGTTCTAGATTCTTTCTACTAAACCACACTATATCTCCTGTGTTGTGTTGAGTTTTTTGACTGCTATGCATTTTTAGGATTTTACCTACTATGTAATCTTCAGTATTTAATCTATTTAATCTTCAGTATTTTCTGAGTCAATACAAAATGATTCTAGCTGCATAATCATTTGAATTGGTTCATGTATAATCAAAAGTCTAATATACTTCAAAATGAAATTTTAAAAATTAGGGCATAACTCTGGCATCCTGGGTTAGACAAGAATGTATAAGAAAGTTCAAGAAAGTTGAACCAAGCCAGTAAGGAAAGCTTAGGACAGCAAAACCAGTTGGGTTTTTCATTCTGCTTCTTTTGTAGCTATATTGAGGGGAAAGGGTAAGATGATATTGGATGGTGGAGAGGAAATTGAAGTGTTCAACTTTTATTTTGCTATTGTTTCTTTTCCAAGGAGCATTATCTTTAGGCTGAAAGAGACAGAATAATATTGCCTAAAGGGGAGTAGATACCAAGATAAATAAAATAATATTATGAGAATATTAGCTGCCTTTGAAGTATTCAAGTCATGAGGCCCAGATGAACTACAGTCCAAGGGTACTGAAAGAGCTGGTAGATGTGATTACTTGGGGATCTTTGAAAGCAGGTCTTCCCAAAAGAGGAATAAACTTTCGTGGAAGGTGTTGTACCTCCCTTAGTGGGAGTGTCTAAACAAAAACTGGATGATTCCTTGTCTTAAATGTAATAGAGGGCATTTTGTTTTAGGGTTAGTGTTGGACTAACTAGCCTCTGAAGTCCTTCCCGACTCTGACAATTTCTGTGTTTCTGTGAGTTGAAATATGTGGGGAAAATGATAGATGACATTTAAAAATGGTAAATTCTCTAATTGTCTAACATTTGAAACCTCATTGTTAAAGGGGTAACAAATTGTAGAATAAAAATTGCACTACTGGATTTAAATCTTGAAAGGATGAATGATCTCTACATAAGTGAATACATGTCTATTCTTATTCATAATATACTGGAAAAATTTTATTTTTATTTTTAGAATCATGAGATTCTAAATGTCATTATGATATCAGAGGTTTTTCATATCTATACTTTGCAGAGATGCATCTTGGGAACTGGAAGAAAATGCATATCAAGAACTTTTGCAGCACTACCAACGTTGTGATGTAAGAAGATGTCGTTGTAAAGAAGGGAGAGAATATAATGAACCTGATAGGTATTTGTGAAAATATAATCCAATTTGTTGTTATAGAAATATATGCTGTATGTAATGATAAGCATTCTTTTACTTGGAGATGGGAGTAGGTAGGTCATAAGATCATAGTTTAAAGCTGAAAGACCTAAGGTCATCTAGTCAACCTCCTCCCACCTCTCTCCCAACCAGTTTTTCACATATGAGACAGTGAGGCCCAGAGGAATTAAGTAACTTGCCCAAGGTTTCACAGGTAGGTAAGTCACAGTCTAACCCAAGATCCAGTGTACTTTCCTTTATAGCACAAGAGAATGGAAACATTTGTGGAGAGAGAGAGAGAGAGAGAGAGAGAGAGAGAGAGTGTGTGTGTGTGTGTGTGTGTGTAATTTTTTTTTTCTACCAGTTGCCATTCATCCCAAATCTCTGAAGGTTACCATATTTTAGGATATATTGAGGATACTTAGGGTGTTTGTGAATGCTTTCTGGTTAACAGAAGGATCATGTCTTCTCTCCTACCATCTCCTGTGTCCTCTCTCACTATATCAAGGCTCATGTATGAGAGATCTTAGTCCCCAAAAGGTGCAGAGGTCATGAACATAAGGTAGCAAGAGATTTTTATTTTTTGCACAGCTGTCTTTGTCCTATGCCCACTGTATTGCAACTGTATTTTTCCTATACCCTTCTATTTGTGCAGATCCTAGGGCAACTGCTGCCTAGTTAGTTGGATCTGAATTAAGGACAATCACTTTGAATTGTACCATTCATATACAAAGAACAATTAAATTGAATTTGCTTGAATCTCCCTGTGCAATTCTGTTAATACAGTTATCTCAGTTTCTAATATGCCTCCAAAGCTATAAGTATTCATTTCCTCTAAATGTATTAATAAGCACACACATACAGAATGTTAGAACCCTATTTAATCTTTATAGTTAATTCCCACTTCTGCTGACATTTCCTCCTAAACCACATTAATGAAGAAGCTATGATAGCATAATCTAACTGTGAATATTCAAAATATAAATGCTATTTAACTTTATATTGTTTACAGTTTTTCTTGTTATAAATCCTTGTTATTTTTTGCTTTAAGTCTTTTGCCCTCTTTATCTTATTTTCTTTTTTTGTTTCTTCTTCCATTATGTTTCCACTCTAGTTTTTCTTTCTTGGAATATAAAACTATGAGACAGCAGGTTTCTTCATTCTTGTCCTGTATCTTCTACTCAATTTATCCTCAATGTATGGCCACAGTTGGTGAAAATGACTTAAGAATTGGATTTGGTCTCCCACAAAAGGTTGCAGTAAAAATTGTTGTTTATATTAATTCTTTCTACAAACCTGCTGACAAAAACCTAGTGAATAACTTGTATGATAGGCATGAATGCTCAGCAATTTTACATATACATATATATATATGTGTGTGTGTATGTGTATATATATACATACACACACACACACATATATATATACACACACACACACACACACACACACACACACACACACACACACACACACACATATATAAGTAGTATGGAAGTCACAGGCCAGGGTTTGGTGGTACACATAGAAATTTTAACTCATCATTCTACTCCATCCATCCATCCATCTTGCGATGTTTACAGAGGGAGACTGGATTAGATAAAACAATAAAGAGGGAGACTGGATTAGATAAAACAATATAATTGGGACCTAAGGTTAAATAGATTATGTCAGAGTTCCCTCTTATCTTTCTATTCTCAATCTGATACAGTTCTGATACATAAAAGGAAAAGCAGTGGGTTTTGTTTTTTTTCTAGGTCCTGGGACCTGAGTTCAAATCCAAATCCACCCTCTTACGCTAATTACCTGTGTGATCTTGGGCAAGTGACCACACCTCTCTTGACTTCATTTTTCTCAGCTGTAAAATGAAGGGGTTGGACCATGTAACTCCTGGGCTTCCTTTCAAATCTAAATCTAGGATTCTATAATGACCCTGAATATTTGTTAAACAAATTAACAAAATACAACTTACAGTGTGGGAAAACAATTCTCACATCTTATTTGATAGTTGGATCTGATTAATACAGGTGTCATGTATCATTTTCAAATGTTTTGTTACTAAAACTTAAAATTTTGATGGACTCCTATTATGTATCTTTTATCCTGTAATCTTCTAATTTTATTTTCTATAAATCTAAAACTGTTCCTTTATCATGGTTGCTTAAAAAATGGCAAGCCTGTTAGAGAAGGGAGATTTTGGTTGCTTCAGTGATGCTCCAGCATTGCCACTTGTGTGTCTGAGTGTCCTTTTTTTAGGAACACATTCACCACCAACGAGAAAGATCTTAGAAGTAAGATTTATAGTTGAAAGGGTCTTTAGGCTATTTAATCTAACACCTTTATTTTGCAGATGAGGAGACTGAGACTTGGAGAGATTAAGTTACTTACCCATTGATATACAGGAAAAATGGCAGTTAGAACTTGAACTCATGTCCTTTGGCTTTAAATCCAGCATAACCTGCACTGCACCATGTAATAAATATTACCCTGTAATAAAAAAGATACCATAAACATGTGCCTCACTTAAATCAGAGCCAAATCACCTTATTTGGAGGTTCTGTCTAGCTATTCAGCTTCACTTTTTTTTTCAGCTTCTATAAAAATGTCAGTCTTTATCAGTCTGAATCTTAAAATACAAAGGAATGCTTGCTCTTCTACTCTTTTTAGTATTGTGTATGTATGTTTGTGTGTGTGTTTATATTAAAATTTGTACACATTTGCTTTATAGGCATTACTTAGCAGGGGAGGAGGTTTGCAAATTTACGGAATAGCAAAGGCAAGAAAATGAAGGATTAAAATAATCCCAAAGGAGATGATCTATCTATATGTGATCAATGCTAAACTGTAAGATTGTGTTTTATCCATATGTTAATAACTAAACATAATTATCTCTTTTCCCTTATTTCCTTAGTAAATGGGAAATAAAACGCTGCCAGTATTGTGGATCTAGTGGAACTCATCTAGCCTGTTCCTCAATAAGAACGTGTAGACAAAACTGGGAATGCTTTGAGTGCAGAAGTATTATCTACAATTCAGGTAATATTTTCTAGTTCTGAATCAATATGCTTTTATTCAGCCCCTTACTACTTTTCAAAATATTCTCACCTAACACTAGAATTTAATTTTGTAGGGGATTTCAGAAGACCAAAAAAACGCTCTCTACCTAACACAGAAAATATTGGAATTACTAATTGTTTGTTGGAACAGCCCTCTCCCAAATTCTCCAGACAGTCCCCTAGAACTCAGAACAAAAATTTGCTCAGGTACGTAATTTATATAGGAAGAAAAATTGATTGGAGCAAGTTATAATATGAAATGATAGAACATTTCTCTTAGAATGTTAAATGCTAAGTAGATAGATAAAACCATTTGTTATGTGATTACTGTGAGCCAGGCGCTGTGCTAAGTTCTAGGGATATAAAAGCCCTATCCTCAAAGAACTTACTTTATAATGGGGGAAGAAAAAACAGCTGTAAAGCAGGGGTGAGAGAAAGGTACAAGTTGAGGAATGAAATCTAGAGAATGAATAGTGGTGCTGAGAATGAAGTTAATGTGGCCTGCACCACACATACAATGGTGGTCCAGGGTAGGGACTTTAAGAGAGTGGGCCTTATAGAAGACACATCTCCAGGGTGAAAATATTGAGTTAAAAGAAGTCTGGAGACATGGATATTAAATAACTTGATAATACAGAAAGTAGAAAACTTTACTAATATATATTGTAATGAATTGAGAGTAGGATGACCTAGGGAAGGCAAGTGACTGACTGGAGAAACTGCTTTTTTTTATCTTCCAATGACCAGTAAATGTTGATATGTGCCATGTCATTTTTAAACATAATGAATACTTTAGATTTGCAGATCACATGACAATAGTTGCATTTTTTATACATACAAACACAATATCAAAATTATTTTGAACATTAAATATAATAAACACAATGTATTATTTAATTCTTAATAGTAAAATGCTAATTAGTTTTTATCCATTTAGTGAATGACTATTGAATAATTGTGCTTGAGAAAAATTTGATCTCAACATGGTCATTCACAGTTGACTTAAATGAAAATAGAATTTGATCATTAGATGATATGAAATTTTAATCACCTAAAATAGTGATGCTCAGATTGCAGGGGCTTCAACACCCAAATAACTCTTATTTCATCTGATACATGGCTCTTTTTTACTGGCAATTCCTCATGCCTAGAATATGCTTCTTCTTTACCTCCACCTCTTGAAATATTTTTGTTTCTTTCAAGGCTTAATTAAAGCACCACCTTATATGTAAAGGCTTTACAGATCCTACCTCCTACCTCTTCCCTCCTCCCAACTGTTAGTGCCTTCCTCTGTCCTTTATTCTACACACACACACACACACACACACGTGCTCATGTCATCACAAGACATACATGTTGTCTACCTCTCCCTCCTCCTAACCTCCATTTAGGCTATAAGAGCCTTAAGAGTATAGACCGTTTCACTTTTTCTATTCCAAGTGTCTAGAACATAGTAGGCACTGAATTAATGCTTGTGGAGTAGATTTCAAAACATCTCAGCCTCTGCCCACATTGAACAATTCCTAGTTCACCACCCTAGATCTCTGCCCCAGCTGACTTTTTAGGTGGTCAGAACTGGCCCCATCTGGGTACTCTTGACAGAGTACTACACAACCCTCCACACTCGTGGGGTCCTCTCCTACTGAGTTGACCTATTTGTCTGTTCCTCAGTTCTCTGGTATGGCACTGGCAGTTGAGAGCTTTGCTTCTAGGCTGCAAACTTCTAGCAATCTTTTGCTTCTAAAGATCTGTGACCAAGCTGGCTGCCAAGCAAATTTTCTTATCCTAAAGCCAGGATCTCCATGACATTGGAAAGAAGGGGGTTAGGGGGACAAGTTGTAGGAAAGTATTTTGATATGTCTGTGTCATGTCCTTGGATCTTCTAGTACAGTCTTGCTGTTAGGAGCATGGGAAGTAGGGGAGGGGTGCTAAGTGAGCTCAGGGTCAGTGAGCATAAGTTCCTGGTGGTTGTTTTTTTAACCTTCTTAGGGATTTTGGGTGTCCTAGATTATAGAAACAGCTGAAATTATTTTAACTCGGGTGCATAATTTCTGTTTTGGGGAGGTTTGAAAAGTCATGGAGATTGGAAAAAATGCCCACGTGACCCAGAAATCCTATGCTTATTTCTACGTTGTATATGAATTCATCATTCTTTCTAGAAAAACAGAGGACAACAATACATAATGAATAAGTGATTTTTTTTGGAAGAGGTTACTGGTCCTACAGTTTTATTATTGTAGAGAGCTCCTGGGAACTTCCTCTACCAATGAAGACTGATCTGTCTTTGTAATTTACAATCTTAGAGTTGCCTGGAACACTGAAAGGAAGTGACTTGCCAGTGCTCATACAGCCAGAGTAAGAGTTCAAAGTAGAACTCAAGTCTCCTTGACTCTAAAACCAGCTGTCTATCCACTATGCCATGTTGCGTGAGTAGGTAAAGAGATTCAGAAGAGAAAGGAAGAGCTCTGGAGATGTAATCATTAGACTTGAGGAATATGAAGCATATTAAACATTGTTCTGAAGGTTTGCCTATTGGCATGTTGCTGTGGATGTACTGAGATAAAACAAATTTTGAATAATTCTAAACAAGTTCTAGAACACACTGTATACTATAAGTAAAAACTTAAGGGCCTATTATTATTAAGTGAATGTTCCTTGTTTGAAAGTACAGAAATATTTTCATTTTTGAAATAATTCTTCTTTCTAGGTCACCAAAGATATTACGTCAAGGAAGCCTGACTCCTAATTCCTGTTTAGATAAACCACCATGTTCTAGAAGACTCAGGTTAATTCCACCACTTATTAATGTTGCTGCAAAGACTCCTTCTACTACTAAAAGGTATATTGCAGAAATACTTTTTTTTTATTTGCTAGCATATGTTACGGTTAAAAATGGTAGGGGATTATAAAAAGCTATCTGTAATCTTAAATAATCTCCCATTAGGTTTAGGATCTAAATCAAGATCTTTAAGCTGAGTTCTGTGAACTTGTTTTAAAGTGTACTTTTATCATTGTATTTCAATATAATTGATTTCTTTTGTAATCTTATATATTTTATTTTATGCATTTTAAAGCAGCATTTTCAGAAGAGGTCCATAGGCATCACTAGTCCAGCAAAGGGGTCCATGATACAAAAAAGGTCAAGAACCCCTGATCTAGATGTTATCTTTTTTTTTTTCAGTTGTCAGGGTAGGACAAAGAGGAGGTGATTACTGAAGTAGAATTGGAGAGGAGCAAAAATAGGAACTTATTCGTGAAGAGTAGAATTAGAATGTTTAGTTAATGAATGAGTAAAATAGACCATGAATATGAAAGTGAAAGATAAAACTGAGGGTCAAATAGTTATTGGGTATATGTAAAAAATGAGTAAAGAGCACTAGAAATATGAGGGAGAAAAGGCAATTGAGTGTATACCTTCATGGTGATAAGAAGGGAATTGGGTCTGTGACAACACCGTAAAGGGAATCAGGTCTTCCCAGTGATTTTGGAAGGTTTAGTATAGGTAGTAGAAAGAACAAGGGAACAACTATGGCTACTTCTTTTGAGGTTTACTGAGTAGGAGATGCCCTCAGGCAAAGTGTGGAATGTTCTGTTGTCAGTATCAGAAGTGGGAACTGGTGATTGGGTACATGAACTCACAGTTTAAACTCAGACCTCATGACAGGTGGATATTTAACTCTATGACTACATACTTTCACCAGTTATCTAGTAGAGGGACTGCCTACTTTTCTCCATAAAGAATTATTGAAGAATCTAGATTATAGTAAATCTGTTTGAAGGCCAATGTTCTCTCTCCTTGTAACAGAGACTGCCATTCTTTCATTAATTTAAAAAATTGAGGTTTGTTGATATCTTTGTTTTCACAACAGTCATTTTTTGATATTTCCCCACTCTCACATATGTACCTACCGCATTGAGCCTTCCTTTTGTAAGATACAAACAAGCTAAATGAATGGACATTGACCATGTCTGACATTTTGAACCTATTGTCTTCCAGCTCTCTACCAGAAAGGGGAGGGTATGTTTTATCATTTCTTTTTTAGAAATAAGATTAGTCATTGTAGTTACTCAGAGTTTGAATTCCTTTTGGTTAGTCATCATTCACATTCTTATAGATATTGTGTATATATTATTCTCCAGGTTCTGTTTGTTTTACTTTTACTAAGCTTTTTAGTTCATTCAAGTACTCTCACCTTTCTCTGACTTCCTTATATCCATAGTGTCTTATGGTGCAATAATATTCCATTATATTCATTCTACTACTCACTTTGTTTTCAGTTTTTTGGGGTTGTTTTGGGGGTTTTTTTGCTATCATAGTACATTATCGTGAAAATTTTTATATCCGTATCTTTTGGAATCCATCTAAGGTGGTGCAAGGTCTAGGACAAGCCTCTCATTACAACCAGGGGAAGGAGAAGATATTATTAGGGCTAATAACTCTGGGGGAAGGTGGGAAGTTTATTATTCTACCTCTTACTACCCTCCCTCATATACAAACATATACATACCCATAAGAGGATAATAGCTTTAGCAATGGAGAAGGATCATCCAGGTAATTTAATCCAATTCTTTCATTCTAGAAATGATAAACTGAGGTTCCAGAGAAGTTAAATGACTTGCCAAAGTCACACAGCAAGTGGCAGATTTGGGATTAGAATCTAGATATTTTGATTCCAAACTCATCCCTCTTTCTGCTCCCTCAGAATGTCTCCCATTGGGTCTGATGATGATTTGGCATGGATATACAAGAATAAGCTGTTGTGGATATTTATGATGTATAAACAGTGAAGAAGGAGTTGGCTTATTAGAACACTATGCAAGAGAGAGAGATAAAGGAGCATCTGGCAGTGAACCATGGTTATTGAGAGTGAAAGTAGAATGAAAGAGTGAGAGAGAGTCACTGAGTGAACATAGAGGCAGACTGCAAATGCTAGGGAATGATGATATTTTAACACTTTTGCACAAACAAAATTTAAGCTGCAAAGGTTTGATATCTAAGATATATATAGAATTAACACAAAATTACTTCAGAGCCATTTCCCAGTGGTTAAGTGATTAAAAGATATGAACAAATAGTTCTCAAGAGAACAATTGCAAACTATTAGGAACCATATGAAAGGTACCTTCAAATTACTAATAACAGAAATGAAAATCAAAATAACTCTGAGGTATTACCTCATACCCAGTAAATGGGCAATTGACAAAGGATGAAAATGGTTAATTTTCAGGGTTTGCAGAAAGACAGGCACACATAAAACTTTTGTAGCATTGTGAAGTTCAGCTATTCTGAAAAAGCTATTTGCAATTAAGCTTTTTAAAAAAATGATTAAAATGTCCATATCCTTGACTCAGAGATTCCACTACAAGACACATGTCCCAAGGATATCAAATACAGAAAGTTTATGTTTACATCAAAATCTGCACAGTATTAGTAGTGCTTTTTGTGGTAGGAAAAGACTAGAAACAAAGTTGATGCCTATTAATTGAGAAATGACCAAATTTTAGTAAACGAATGTAATGGAAAATTACTGTACCATAAGAAATCATGAAAACTAATAATTCAAAAAAGGATGGAAAGATTTCTGTTTACATGAACTGATGCAGGGTGGAGGGAGCAAAACCAAAATAACTATAAGCTGTGATTATAACAATGTAAATAGAAAAATAAAACCTTTGTGATTATAATGACTAAACTCAGTTCTAAGAAGAGATTAGAAAATATGTCTCCTTTAATTGGAAAGGGAGGGCGATTGGTATGGGATATTGCGTATACTGTGAGATTTGGTTGATGTGCTAGTTGGTTTTGTTGAATTTTTTTTTCCCTTTTTATGGCTCTCTGGGTAGAGAAAGGAGAAAGAGATATTTGGAAATGAAGGTGATATAAAAGCAAAAGACATGGGGTAGCTAAGTGACACAGTAGATGGAGCTCTGGCCTTGAAGTCAGGAGGACCTGAATTCAAATCCGGCCTCAGACACTTGACACTTACTAGTTGTATGACCCTGGGCAAGTCACTTAACCCTGATTGCCTCACCAAAAAAAAAAAAAAAGCAAAAGACATTACTGTTAAATATTATTTTGAAAATTAAAAGAAAACTAGAGAGGAATAGTAGAGACAGGGAAAGTGCATCTGAATGAATACCCCTGTATCAGATCTTGTTTTCAGAGATGGAGGATGGGAGCTGGGTCTGGGAAATCCAGTTGCTTTCAAGTACATTGCCACAGCTAATGTTGTATTAGAATACTGTTAAGGAAAAAATAATAAAAACTCTATCATAATGTCCTTAAAGACCAACCAGCTTAGCCTCTTTTCCAACCTTATAAGTACTGGCTATCCTTGCTCCCTCTGCTCAGCTATTCCTGTTAGTCTTCTAGAGTGCTTTAAATGTTATCCTTCTAAGCCAGTGCTTAAGGTTTCAAATAGCCAGGGGAAGGGCATAGATTTTCTGGGTCCAGGAAATTTAAGGAGAGATGCATACTCTGTTTATATGATCATTGTTAAGAGCCCATGTTACAAGTTTGTACTGATCCCACAAAAAATGTTTAGGTTATTGCTACTAGCCTTCATTGATAGGCAAATTAACCTTTTCAGAGGGAGCAATTATGGTAAATCAAGCAGTTCCACAGCAAATTAGCCATATGACTGACCTTAAGCAAATAACATGATCTCTTAGTTACCACTTATATTAAACACGGATAATAAAATCAGCCCTTTATTCCTTTCAGGGATTTTGTGAAGATGAGATGAGATAATTCATGTGAAAGCATTTTGAAAAATAAACTTTTGTATTGTGAAGAGTAGCCAACAAAAAGACCTTTTGAACCCTTATCTGGAAGACTGCATTCACTAGGAGCGGGGGCAAGTTTTCAATTTAAAGTTTGTTAGGACCCTCCTAAACAAATATTCTTATATTTGACATAAGTACTTCTGATTAGGAAGGAGTATGTGTGGCAACTCAGGTTTTAAAATGGTAATTAGTTGGGTGGGATGGCAGCTGTTACAGTTGGTAAATAAGGAATGCCTTCTTGTGATTCCCTATTCTTATGTTCTAGCTATGACTACTATATTGCATATGCAGAATATATGTATGTTTTAAATTCATATTTTTTAGGGAAGTCAGCATGTTGAAAAGAGACATTTCCAACATATTGAGAGAATTAGGATACCAAATTAAACAAAAAACTCGAAAACTCTATATCAACAAAGAAAATATCTGGAATAGTGCCATAAAAGGATTCAGAAGGCGAAACTTTAATCCATCAGATGCAATTGAGGTACAGTTCTGTAATGGAAATGGAGATACTGATGGATCAAAGCATGAATTCTTAAGCCTTTTAATGGGACAGCTTGAGAGCTCATCACTATTTGAAGGGTCCATGTCAAAGAACTTGTCCCTTAATTCTGAAGGTAAACCTTTTATTTATAATTAAGCATGCTTAGTATATTAACTAGTATAAAGAAATAAATGAACAAGAAGTTAAAAACAGAAATTAGCAACTGTGATTTAAAATATTAAAATGGAATTTACATCTGGACATTGCCATCCTCACCTCCATTGCAGCCTTAGTACTTTGGAGCCTTTCCATCCATCCTGCAGCTGAATATACTTTTTATGTGCTGTTTCCATCAATTACAGTATGAATTTTTTAGAGGAGGGACTATCTTGCTTTTTTTGTTTGTATCCCCAGAGTTTTAGCATAGTGCTTGGAACATAGGATGCATTTTTTCATTCATTCATTACTAAGAAAAGAGCATAATAGAAAAATAGGTTTAGTACAGTAAATTTTGGGAAAGAATTATTTTCTTTTGTCGAGGATGTCTGTAGTGATTTTCTTTTAGTCATGAGATTCTCTAATTCTATGACAAAATGCAGTTTGCCATTTGAAATTTGAGGGGTTTTCTTTACACTGCTTTATTTAACTTTTGTTACTTTGTTCAGTTGTGTCCAACTCTTCATGACCCAGTGGACCATACTGTCCATGGAGTTTTATTGGCAAAGACACTGGTTTGCCATTTCCTCCTCCAGTGGATTAAGGCAAACAGAGATTAAGTAACTTGCCCAGAATAACACAGATAGTAAGTGTCAAAGGTCAGATTTGAATTTAGGTCTTCCTGATTCCAAGCCCAGTGCTATATCCACAGAGCCACCTAGCTGCTGCCTAGGCAGAGGTTGAATGACTTGCCCCAGGACATATAGCTAGAAAATGTCTGAGGCTGAATTTGAACTCAGGTCTTCCTGATTCCACATCCAGGGCTCTATTAACTGAGCCATCTATCTGCCCCTTATTTAACTTAGAGTAGGCAATTTGAATGGCTGCTTATTTGATAGGATTTGGTTAAGGAGCTTAATATTCATCACTTCATGTGACTGAAAATAAAACCTATGAAACCTATGAAATAGCTTCTAAAGATGATTTGGGCAATATTGATTCTTAGACAAAATATCTAATTTGTAAGACCTTTCTATACCACCATTGCTTATATTAGGTCTTCATGATGAGAATAAATGAAAGTATACACCAGCAAACCCCTGCTGTGAGTGGAAGTTGGAGATGATATAAAAAAAATTAATTATGCTTCAGAATTTTCTTCCTCTCATATTTGCCCTTAACTCACCATTTTGGGAATACTAATTCAACAAAAATTTATCAAGTTCCTGTTGTTACGTATTCATAAATCACAAAGTTCCCCTTAGAAACATTCTAGAATCTATATTAGCATGGTGTAAATAAATCCATAGTAAAGAGGTTGTCCTGGTATTTTAAAACTCTTTCAACAAATTCAATAGAGGTCTGTCTTACACAATTGGTCTAAGCTTTGACAGTTCTGGTTAGCTAGTTTATTCCCTTATATTTTGATGTTTTACTTTACCATATTTTGGATTATATTTTTCTTCATTTAAATATACTTATTATTAAAATGATAGTTACTTAAGTAAAAATTAAATATATTTATATTTATCTATATAAATATATTTATCTATTTTATATAAAAGATAAATAAAAATTAATAAAAATTAAAATTAAAAGAATCCTCAATTTTTATCTACACTTACAGCTCTTAAAGAGAATCTGTACTTTGAGGCTGGTAGAATGATTGCCATTTCTTTGGTGCATGGTGGTCCACCGCCATTTTTGTTTTCTAAAACATTATTTAACTGCCTTGTCTCTGGACCAGAGAATGTGGAACCAACTCTAGAAGATGTTGAAGACAGTAATACAATGCAAATAATAACCAAGGTAAGAACTTTACCAATGTACATGAAAATGTAATTAAGAACATACACTCTTTGGTAAATTTAAACTCCATAGCTTAGGATTAAGACAAGGGATGGACTTGTATGCTTCCTGATTGTAGCTTATCGCTTCTTCGGCGAACTGTATTTTGCAACAGAAAATTACTATTATCACTGAATTATTTGTTAAACTTTTAGCTTGAAAAAATGTAATCCAAAGTAAAGATAAAGCAGTAGATAAGATTTGTTTAAGGCATATACATCTCTAGTAAATATATACATATATGTTTATTTTCTCTTGGTGCAGATTAAAAGTTCAAAAAATTTGACTCACTTAAGGTCAGCAATACATGATTGCTTTGAATACCTCTCTCACATTGGATGTCTAAGACTTGTAACAGTGCTAAGTGACAAGGATGTGTTAGTAAAAGACATACTCACCCATCATGTAATTAAAAGAGTGCAGGCACCCTTGGACAGGTAGGTTTGTTTGCATGTGGAATTCTAGAATTACATGTTTTAATTTACATGCCCCAGTTTCTCACTGGTAACTGAAGGTGTATTTGGTCCCATACACGACATAGCTAGGAATAAGCTTCATTTAGTATGCTCTTTGTATGGATTTCAGCTCCTCCAATGGACAATAACTTTACCAGCCTTATCTTATGGAATTGGTTTTATCAAACAATAACAGCTTGTATTTGTTTTGTTCTTAAAGGTTTGCAAAGCACATTACCTTCTTTGGTCATTATAATAGTCCTTTGAAGCAGGCATTATTATTATTATTATTATTATTATTGTCTCTTTTTTACAGGTGAGGAAACAGGCTCAGCAAGGTTAAGTGACTGAAAGTTTCTGAGGCTGCCATGATATTAGAATGTAATAGGAGAAAGTAGCAATCATTTCAGCATATAATGTCCTTTATAAGGCAGAAATATTAATTTAAAAAATAATAAAAGTGTATTATGGCAGTAGCTATTTCTTTTTGGCTGTAGTTGACTTTACTTGCAAATTTAACATTTTTGAAATCATGGCTTTCAGGGGCACATTTTTCATCTTTTTATAAATAGCAGAATGATTATCATTTGAAATGCCTTAATCATTCCTTATGTTAAGCTCCTCTATTTATATAACAACATTCAGGAATTTAATTCTCAAATAGTTCTTCAAAACCAGATAGTTTTCTAAGCTTTATATTCTTTTAATACATTTTACATACAAATGTATTAAAATATAAAACAATTGGATGTGTAAGAATATAATATACTACTTCTCCATTACATATGAATGATACCTTTGGTTAAATGAGGTAACATATGTAAAGTGCTTTGCAAATCTTAAAGCAGTATATAAATTCTAGCTATTATTATTTTAAGGCCTATTCTGTGTCACTTTTATTATAGTAAACAAAACTAATAAAAAGGTTAAGTACAGTTTTACTGAAACTGATAATAGAACCCAGATGGTATGTCCAAGTAACTGGGATTTGATATGGAAAGGAAGAGGAACACAGTGAGAGATAAACTTTTTAAAAATAAATTTTTATTGATGCCTTCTGTTTCTTAGATTGTCATAGTTATCAGTGTCTATTCCTCCTCCAGAGAAACATGCTATTTAACACATAGAATTTTTTTAAAGAGGAAAAAAATGAGCACAACTGTTTGATATATTGAAAAAGTTAGAAAATATGTGCAATGTGTAACATCTGTGGATCTCTTAGCTCCATGAAGGAGTGGGTTGGAGATGTTCTTTCATGTTTCTTAATTCACGTCCTGCTTCCTCTTTATAATTTTGTTACATTCACTTTTGGTTTTTTGGTAGGTGGTGATTCTTTTCCATTTACATTTACTGTGTATCTTGATTTCTTGGACTAACTTACTTCAAAGTACATTAATTCATGTAGATCTTTCCATGCTTCTCTCTATTCATCACATACATAATTCCATTACATTTATCTACCACAATTTGCACTCCCAATTGATGGGTATCTATTTTGTTTCCAATTTTTTTCTTTTTTCCTTTTTGGTGAGGCAATTAGGGTTAAGTGACTTGCCCAGGGTCACACAGCTGGTAAGTGTTAATTGTATGAGTCTGAATTTGAACTCAGGTCCTTCTGACTCCAAGGCCCCAACTCTATTCACTGTGCCACCTAGCTGCCCCTCCAATTTTTGTTATCACAAAAAGTGCTGCTGTAAATAGTTATTGTATATGGAGGTTTTCTTTTTATCAGTGGATTCTTTGGGGTATAAACCTAGTAATAGAAGCTCTGTTTCAAAGGATATTTTAGTCACATTATTTGCTCTTTACTTTTCAATTGCTTTGTAAAATGGTTGTACCATTTTGCAGCTCCGCCAACAAGGTATCAGTGTGCCTATCTTCCCACCATCCCTACAGACACTGACTGTTGCCTTTTTTGTCATCTTTGTCAATTTTCAAGGTGTGAGACAAAAACCCAAGGTTGTTTTGATTTACATTTCCTTCATTATTGGAGCATTCTTTCATATGGTTGTGAATACTTTGTAATTTTTCTTTTAAGAACTGTTTGTTCATATCCTTTTACCACTATTGAGGAATGGCTATTAGTCTTATATACACTTACTAAATGTTTATATAACTTGGCTATCAGACACTAATAGGGGTAGGCAGGTGTCACAATGGACAGAGAGCGAGGCATGGAATCAGGAAGACTTATCTTTGTGAGTTCAAATCTTGCCTCAGACACTTACTAGTTGTATGACCTTGGGCAAGTTCCTTAACCTTTTTTTGCCTCAGTTCTTCATCTGTAAAATGAGCTGGAGAAGGAAATAGCAAACCACTTTAGTATCTTTGCCAAGAAAACTCCAAATGAGGTCATGAAGAGTTTGAATACAGCTGAAAAGACAACAACAAAAAGAAATTTGATTGAAAGATTTTTTTTACCTATTTAACCATTTCCTTTCTTATCCTAGATCCATTTATTTTGTCTGTGCAGAAGCCTTTTCAGTTTCAAGTAATCAAAGCTATCAGTTTTATCATTTGTAATTGCCACTATCTCTTGTTTGGTTAAGAATATATCTCTTATCCATCATACCCATGAGAGGTATATGATCTATTCTCTTTCAATTTTTAAGTAATATGATCTTTAATATTAAGGTCATCCATTTAAAATGTATTCCGGAATATGATATAAGGTGCTTGTCTAAATCTAAAAAAATTTATTTTGGGCTGCTTTCTAGTTTTCCCAGCAGTTTTTATCAAATGAGGAGGTTTTTCCAAGGTAACTTTATGTTTTCCATTTTCTCAAATACTCCCTTACTCAGTTCTGTTACTTCTGATTCTCCTTTATCTAGTCTGTTCCTCTCTCTCTCTCATAACCAATACCAGATATTGTCGTTTTTATTATATTGGCACAGCCTAACCATGAGCACTGAATATTCCTCCAGCTATTTAAACTTCCTTTCTTTAAGGAGAACTTTATAACTGAATCTTTATAAATCTTTTGTGTTTTTTAGTAGGTCCCTCTCCGGATAATTTTTGCATTTTGTGATTATTTGGAACGGGATTTCTTTATTTTTGCTTCTTGGATTTTGTTATTATTACACACAGAAATGCTGTTGCCTTTTGAAGGTTTACTTTATAGCCTGCAACTTTGCTGAAGTTTTAATTGTCTCAATTAGTACCTTTATTGATACCCTAGGATTTTCCAAATGTACCATCACATCAGCAAATAAGGACAGTTTTGTTTCCTCTTACTTTTTACCTTTAATTTCTTTGTCTTGTCTTACTACTGTTGCTAGCATTTCCAGAACTATCTCAACTAATAGTACACAGAATGGGCATCATTGTTTCTGTCCACAATGCCCCTGGCCTGTGTCTTTAACTCTACATGATTTAGGTTTTTCCTACATCTCTTTCTGTATACTGAGAAAGAAGCCTCTTACTAGTCTCTCTGATGTTACTCTGTCGCTGCGGTTGTCCTTGGCTGCTGCGTTTGTTCGCACCTCTTGCATTTCTGTTATCTGTGATGTTGGAGAAGCAAATCTCTTGAGCTCTGGCTTTCTTTCTTAAATTGTTTCAAATATCTCTTTATTATTGAATATCCATCTTTTTCCATTTATTGTTAAACTCACATATGCAGGATAGATCACCCTGGGCTGCTTCCTGAGCCCCATTCTTCTTTGGAACATATTAATCTGTTTGCTCCAGTGTTTTCTACCTGGTGCAGAATAGTCTGATGTTATTTCTTTCCTTTGCATGTAAAGGTTTTTCTCCTTGCAGAACTTGTTTCTGAATTGAATGGTTAACCACTATGTGTTGCGGAATCTACAGCCTTTTTTGTTTTGGTTTGGTTTGAGACTCAGTCTATCAGTTCTTTCAATGGGTATTTCATTTCCTGTGTTCAGAAGTTCTTGGCAGTTTTTTTGTATTACTTCATGCACTATGGTGTTAAGGTTTTTGTCCTTTCATGTTCTTCTGTGAGACCTATGATCCTTAGCTTGTCTCTTTGTGTCCTTTTTTTCAAGATCAGTATGTTTTGGTTGGATAGTGAGCATATTTTCTTTTCATATTACTGTTTTTGTTGCTTTTCTTCCAGGTTTTCTTTTACTTTTGTTTATTTACATTCTCAATTTGTAGGGTTGGGTTTTATTACAAGCTTATGTACTAGGTCCTTGGGTTTTATTGCAAGCCCGTGGTCTAGTTCTTGGGTGTGCTAGAGTAGACTCACTGCTGCTAATTTGGGGATTGGGGAATGGGTCCGAAGTAAATTCAAGGTAGGGATTAGTTGTTGGGGTTCTTGTTTGTTTTGTTTTGTTTAGCTTCTTTTGGATTCTGAATTGTCCTAAATCATGGAGATAGCTAAAGCGGCATTCTCTTTGGTATATCATTTCTGTTTTAGAGAGATTTGAGAGGTCATGGAGATGAAAGAAAATATCTAGACTTTCATCTTGGTGGTCTCATAATCAGGAAGTCCAATGAGAGAAACATTTTGACATTAAGTAGATCAGTGATTTTTAACTTTTTTTGTGTTGTGGACCCCATAAGCTGTCTAATGAAGCCTGAATGTTTTTAAATGCATAAAATAAATTGAGGGAATGGCTAAATTCCAGGTAGAGGTAAGTTAAAGTAAAGGTGTAACTTATTTTCCATCCAAGTTCCTAGGGCCCCTGAAATCTATCTGCAGATTCACCAGTTTAAGATCCCTGATCTAGAAATATTTTACTGCCACAGACAAAATAGGGGTTCTGAAATACACAGCAGGTTGTTATGCATTCTTCCATTCTTTAGAATCAAGGAATTCTCCTCTCTTTGGCTTGTCTTGAAACTGTAAAGACTACTATATAAAATAGTTTGATTTCAATAACCACTTGCAACAACCTTTCCGGGAGATTTTGGTTTTTGGTTTTTTGTGAAAGCAAATGTAAGGAGGAAAAATTAGGGCATCTTCCTGAGTGTAAATCTAGCCTCAGACATTTACTATTGGTGTGACCCTGGGCTTACAAGTAACTTAATCCTGTTTGCCTCAGTTTCCTTATCTGTAAAATTAGCTGGAGAAAGAAATGGCAAACCACTCCAGTATCTTTGCCAAGAAAACCCCCAAAAGGGGTCACAAAGTGTCAGAAACAATTGAAAAACAACTAGAACACAACAAAAACAACCACCTCTTTATTAAGACATCTACAATTTTACCAAGAAAAGAAGTCAAGTTACTGGTCTGTAGTTTACATATTTTGTTTTCTTTCTTTGAAATGAAAATTTGGACAGCACTTGGTCTGCAAGCCCATGTTGCCTTTGTATTCTGTCCAACTTTTCATATTTCTTCTACAGTGAATCAGCTATTACCATACTTGAGAATTTATTTAGTTTATCAGAAATAATTTAAATTCACCAAAGGTCAACTAAGTTGCTTGGCTTGTTGCTCACTGCCTAGCTTGAGTATCAACTCCCCCTCAGCTATTTTTTGTTCCATTCCTTGTAAACTGAAGTTCATTTTTGTCAGAAATAGCAGCAAGTTGTTATTCAATTGTTTTTTGGTCATGTCTGACTCTTCATGACCCAATTTAGAGTGTTCTTGGCAAGAATACCGTAGTTGTTTGCCATTTCCTTCTCCAGCACATTTTACAAATGAGAAGATTGAGGCAAGTGACTAAGGTTAAGTGATTTGTCCAGGGTCACATGGTGGCTAGTAAGTGTCTAAAGATTGATTTGAACTCATGAAGATGAGTATTCCTGACTCTAGGCCCTGCACTCTATTCATTGCACCATCTAAGCTGCCCCAAAATAGCAGCAAAGTGAGAATTCAATAGCTGTGCCTTCTCTGTTATTGTCATCATTTTTCCCACCCAGTGTAGGAGGTCTTTCCCTTCTTTGATTCCCTCTTTCCCCATAGTTATGGTTTGTTTTTTTAATCTCTTTGCTTATCCTTATTAGCTTTTCAACACAGCCTTGGCTTTTTCTAAGCCTTAGTCTTTCTATCACTGTTCTCTCAATGTCTTAGCACACTCTCATATTCATCCTGTTACTTGCTCTTGCTTTTGTGTCCAGCACCTACATTTTTTTTAGCACTTTACACAGATGTGGCCTTTTTTCGTGTCATAATTATCTGACTACTTATTTTATCTATTCTCCCCCACCTCCAAGTTAGATTTATTACTTTTCTATTCTTAGCACCTAATATGGTACACTGAATATGGGTATTCAATTCAGGTGCTGATTTGAATGTACATAAATATACATCTACCGTAGTTAGCTTGTAAAGGAAGGCTTTTAGTCCTATATCTTCAGGATTACATAGAAGTTCCGCTTTAACTACTGAATGCTAAAATACAATGAAATGTTTTCTAAAATAGTGTTGATGTCAAACCTTAGGTCTTTTGTAACAAATTATTCATGAAAATCTAGTCAGAAAACATTCAGCTGGAAATAAATTTTTTCCTCTTCCTGAATGTTGCAAAACAAAACCAATGTTCTCCCCATCCCCAACCCTTCCAGTGGATTCATTCTTTTTTTTCCTCCTCTTTAGTTTTCAGCAGGGTTTGAGAACTCTTGGTGTGTTAGAAACAATGCAGAAATATCCAGAAGCATTCTATAGTATCCTATGTCACAAACCTGAGACACTTACAAGCAAAATCCTTAGTGATCTTTTTACTATGCACAAATTGTCTGAAGCACAGGACACCAGAGCTGTGGGGTTCTGGATGAATTACCTGCAGAATGTTGAAAGTAAGTGAATATTTTAAAATTTTCAAAATATCTGTGTTAAGATTTTGTTTAGGTTTCTCTCTCTCTCTCTCTCTCTTTTTTTTTTCATATTTCAGTTTTGCCTCTCAATCTTACAAATTCCTCATTTTTCCTTAGCTTACACTAACATTTTAATATTTCACTCCAGGCTGTCTGACAAAGTGGAGTGTGATATGAGATAAACTGTAGTCAGTAAAATTAACTACCAAATTCTCTTAAGGAACATTTAAGTCTTTTTAGAAAAACATATTTTGATAATATGAGTTTCTACTCATACACATACGTGCATTTGACATTCTTCTACTTTACATGCTATGGCAAATTCTATGAAAATTTATAGTGAAGTCTATCAGTCAGCAAGTGTTCATTCAACAACCATTATCCTTGCCCTCATGAAATTTACAGGGGTCAACTTCAGCCCTTCCATGGCCCTTTTGATGCTTTAGGATGAGCCTGAGTTATTATAAGCAGCTATTATAGTTCTATTCAGTACTAAAATAAGGAAAATAAGATGCTGAACAATATTTTTGTAATAAGCCATTTTCATTATTGATGACAGTGAAATCATCATATTTGTACTCTGGAAGAAAAGCAGAACTGGACCAAGTACATACAGAAAAATATCTGTGCTAGAGCCACCCCAATTTTGAAAGCATTGAGAGAGAAATTCTCAAGATATCTGAAAAGGGGGAAGATACTTTATTATTATTAGAAAAAAATTACATGCAGAATTGCTACCAAAGAATAATTTTTTTCATTTCATTCAAAGAAATAAGATCAAAGGGAAATCAATAACAACTAACTTGTGTTCCTATTTAAAGTCTCTATAAAATAATTTCTCTACAGTCTTCTGAGATTGATTTACACATATATGTCAAGTGTATCCTAAAAAAAAATGAGATGTTATAGCTAAGTTTTCATAAACTGTTTTCTGTACTAGGCCACAGCTTCATGGTTATGCATTTTATTTGAAAGTGCTCTCCACTGTTATTTGTAGAGTGTCAAAAAAAATGACTTTATGGAGCAAGCCTCAAAGGCAGGCCCAGAGGGGGATTTCTTTTTTTATGTCAGTCATTTCTTGAGTTCCTTAAACTTTCCTTTATATCAAGTAAGTAAAATTATCAACCTATTAGCTGTGTCTGAAAATGTATGCCTTAATAGACTGCCTCCCTGCCAAGAGACATAATCTATATTTTACCATTATAACTGGTCACTACTTTGAGTTCTGAAGTTTTTCAGTGTTGTTTTCCTTCCTGTTATTGCAGTCATCATGCAGCTTGTTCTCTTGGTTCTGTTGTATTAATCACCCAAATTTCTGAATTCTTCATATGTATCATTTTTACAGTATAGTAATGTTCTATTACATCCATACACTATACTTTGTTAAGCTATTTCCCAGTCAATAGGCATCCACTTAATTTTTTAAAATAGCTATCTCTTAATTTTTATGTAATCTATATTTTTCAGTCTGTCTTTCCTCCCCAACTTCCCCAGAGCCATTTAACAATAAATATAAAGGAGAAAAAAGATTCAGTGAAACTAGCTAACACAATGAAAAAGTCTGACATTATAAAGTATTCCACACCCATAGCCTTTCACCTCTGGAAAGAAATGGGAGAAGGGACGATCACTCTCCTTCCAGTCACTTGCTATCTCACAAAGTGCTGCTATGAATATCTTTTTACATACACACACATACACATACGCACGTATGTATATTGTGTGTGTGTATATATACATATATGTATGTATGTATGTATGTATATATATATATATGTTAGATTTTCCCCTTATTCTAATCTCTTTGATGTATAAGCAAATTAGTGGTTTTGCTGAAATAACAGGTATGTACACTTCAGGGAATTTTTTTTTTTTGTGAGGTAACTGGGGTTAAGTGACTTGCCTAGGGTCACACACCCAGTAAGTGTCAAGTATTTGGTCTGAGGTCGGATTTGAACTCAGGTCCTCCTGACTTCAGGGCCACTGCTCTATGCACTATGCCACCCAGCTGCCCCTAAAAATTTTTTTTGTTTTAACACCATGTCTGTCTCCAAAAGGTTGAAGATTTTCTAAAATTATGCAAATATTTTAACTTTCTTGTCATTTTTTTGGTATGTTTCAGGTGGAGAATCTGTAGTAACGTTAGAAGATATCCTACTTTTTGCAACAGGCTGCCGCTCCATTCCACCTGTTGGATTTCAGCCTACTCCATCAATTGAATTTTTGCATGCTGATTATCCTGTTGGAACCAAATACTACAACAGGTTAACTCTTCCTATAACCAACACATATAAGGAATTTCAAGAAAACATGGACTTTGCCATCAGAAATGCCTTAGAACTAGAAAGAGAAAAAAATTACTACACTGGATGTTAAATCTTATGTCAGAAGTGCCTCCTTGTAAGCTGCTATCATTATGTTCTTAACATTACACAACTTTGTCCTTAATGCTCGCTCCCTTGTCTTAAAACTTGCCGAGTCCTAATTCATTAGTATTTGATATGAATTTTAAAGAAAGTGGTGACATTTTAAAAAGTACAATATGTTAAGGAATTTCTTATTCAAATTTGATGCAACATTTTGTATTTTCTTAATGCTTTTACTTATCTATGAACTTCAAAATAAGTAACTTTAGTAAGTTGTTACTTTGTCATGATACACATAAAAACTTGTTGACTAGTTTTCTAAGTTATATTTACTTCAGGTAAACTATAACTATGTTCCAGTTTTGTATGAAAATAATTCTTTTCCTTTTAAAGCATTAAATAGAAATGCCACAGAATATAAAGGTATTATAGCATATGAATCAAGAATATCCTGTTCTCAAGATGGAGTGGCATTAAGCTAGAAATCAAAGTGTGCAGATAGGTCAGCTGGTAAAAGGTAGAATGGCTCCTTATGCTCCTGTGAAGTTGAATTATGTTAAAATTGTGCCAAAGAGTTAATATTTATTAACTGTATCTTTGGCCTTAATGGTAATAGTTTTGGTTTCTGTAAACTTAGGGCAGTTCTATGCCTTCAGAGTGAGTGAATGTGGGTTAATATCTAGTTATTTTAGCTCTCCACGTCAATTTCCACATTATGGGTTTGATTATGGTGGTGGATATTAATTGTTAACTTAGCTAAATTACCATGTAAGCCTTTTGGAGTCTAGCCTATAGATATTAACTTTTAATACATGTAAAATGATTTTGTACCTATTAATTTCATTGGTAAATTATTTAAAGGAACAAAAATATTATATTTAGAAATCCATGTTCTCATTCCAGAAGCCATTCTCACTTAATTCCCATGTAAATGCTGTTTTTAATACATTCCTTCCAAATGTATGCATTTTTAAAAATTGGAAAACAACCTATTCTCATCATCTTCCATATGTATAATTTGAAGTTAGTATTAAAGTAGATGGGACATTTTTACTGCACCAAAAATTTTAATGATTTTTTTACATTTGTACTGAACTGTGTTTTTTTACCCGAACTTACAAGTGCAATGCCAGTTAAACTCCTCTATATTAAAATTCAGCAAGAAATCTTAATGAAGTTACTGATTTAAATTCATTTCTAGATTCCTTTGACATTTGTTGGTATTGATGAGTATTTTGGGGCAAATTTGAATTTGGAGGAAATAATAATCTCAGCTTCTTTTCTTCATGACTCCTTTTTAGTTTTGAAAGTTAAACTTATTTATATTGATATGTTTTTTGAATGAAGTTGTATCTTAAAATTTTTATGGCTTCTGGAACCTCTTTCAGCAAATCTTTACTTCTCTTGGATTCACTGATGTTAAAGCCTTTAGGTAATATGATATTGTAAGTCTTTTACTTTCAATTATGTCTAAACAGAAATCAGTTAGTGATTTTACTTTTCATATGTTCATACTATGTAATCTCAAAATTGTACCTATGAGTAAGCTTGGTTCTTTTTTCACTTAAGCATGTTTCTTTTAATCACTAATATTCTAGTATTCTCCTGAGATGCCTTTTGGGCCTGTGCTGTTTATTTTTCTTTTCAAACAAAATGGTATAAACAGTCACTGAATCATTGATAACTGAATGACCAGTGACTCCATCCTAACAAAAATCAATATGAAAAAAAGATAAATTTGCCAAGTGGCTTTGCCTTTAGTGTTTATTCATCCTAAGGAAAATACTTGTTTACTCTGTTTGTAAATAGGCAACATTTTAAATGGTATTTTATTGTTACTTTTATGATAAATTGTACTGTGTTCTGGTTGTAATATCAAATGTAAAATGTTTCTCATTTTAGTTTGATTACTTACTTTAATGTATGTAGTTTGTGTCCAGGATTTATACAATTTAAAATTTGCTTTAATAATCCAATCTCAAATTTAATCCTGTTAGTGACAGTTTTGTATACATGAATTATTTTTTTAATGTTAGGCAGCAGGGCAGAATGGATAGAGAGCTGGTCTCAAAGCCAGGAAGACTGAGGTTGAAGGCATGCATCTGACACATCCTGGTTTGTGTGACTTCTCAGTGCCAGTGCCCCAAGTGTCTTCCTAAGATTATAAATTATAGAGATGTTGCAGGCCTGAATTGGTAGAGGGAGTGTCTTTACCTGAGAGTTCTCTGTATTCATGAAATTAGTTTCAGTTTCTATCCTTAAGTACTCTAAAGAGTATAAACCTTTGAACTATAGAGAAACTTAGAAATGTCTCTGAGTTATGTTGACAGCCTTTCAGTATACTATAACTTTGTCCACTCACTTTGATACGAAAATTTGGGTAATTTGTAATGATTTCTCTGTTGCATAGGAAGCAACCAGAAAAATACATGAAGAAAAGCATTCTTTTGTGTAAACTGACACCTTAGGGCTTCTCCTGCATAGTCTATTCTGATAGGGTAGAAAGATTCCTTTTATGCAATGTGGAAAAATCCCTTTTTATAAACTAAATTCTATAAAAGCTTTATTAAACTGAACATATGGATAGGAAGTACCACATAAATGAGGCAGCATTATAATTAAATCTTCAAATAAGATAAATAGCATTCTGAAATTAATTCATTTCTCACTTATTCTCAAGAGATAGAAAAATTTTATACACACACACACACACACACACACACACACACACACAGACTTACTTCATGGGTATAAGCTGTATTTGTTTACCGCTCTATAACTAACCACTTTATAATTTTAAGCATTGACCCCATTGCTGGCCAATAGCAGAGGCCCTGTTTTCGTAACAACCCAGCAGCAAGGCGCACCCCTGGAGTAAGCCAGCAGCTAAACCCCACAGTCAAGGGAAGCCAATGGGGAGCCCTACCCCCTTCCCCAGTACAAGCCAAAAGGGAAACCTATCTTCCAGAGAAAGCAAGCAGCTAAGCCCTGAAGCCCAGTGAAGGCTAGCATTAAGACCCAGAGCCCCAGCACAAAAAGCTTGGGAGTACAGGACCAAAGACCAACTTTCACATAAAAACACCAGGTCACAAAGAAAGGTGGAAAAAAATGAACAAAAAACTCCCCCAAACAAGTAAGAGCTTGACTATAGAAAGTTACTATGGTGATAGGGAGTACCAAGGCATAAACTTAGAAGAGGACAATAATGTCAAAATGGCTACATGTGAAGCCTCAAAGAAAAATGTAATTTGGTCTTGGACCTAAAAAGAATTCTTAGAAGAGCTTAAAAAGGATTTTAAAAAGCAGATTAGAGAAGTGTAAGAAAAATTGGGAAAAGAAATGAGAGTAATGCAAGAGAATCATGGGAAAAAAAAAGTCAGTAGTATGGGAAAAGATATACAAAAATTTACCAAGGAAAAAAACTCCATAAAAAAATTGAATTGGCCAAATGGAAAAGGAAGTACAAAAGCTCACTGAAGAAAATTCGTTAAAAATTAGGACTGAACAAGTGGAAACTGATGACTATGTGACATCAAGATACAATAAAATCAAAGAAGTAAAAAAAAAAGTTGGATGTTGGAGGGGATGTGGGAAAAGTGGGACACTAATGCACTGTTGGTGGAGTTGTGAACTGATCCAACCTTTCTGGAGAGCAATTTGGAACTATGTCCAAAGGGCTATAAAACTGTGCATACTCTTTGATCCAGCAATATCACTGCTAGGTCTGTATCCAAAAGACATCCAAAAAAAGGGAGAAGGACTTATTTGTACAAAAGTATTTATAGCAGCTCTTTCTGTGGTGGCTAAGAATTGGATATCAAGGGTGGTACATCAATTGGAGAATGGCTAAACAAGCTGTGGTATATGATCGTAATGAAATATTATTGTGCTGTGAGAAATGATAAGTAGGATGATTTCAGAAAAACTTGGAAACTTACATTGACTGATGCTTAGTAAAGTGAACAGAACCAAGAGAACGTTGTACACAGTAATAACAATATTGTTCAATGAAGAACTGTGAATGACTTAGCTATTCTAAGCAGTACAAGTGATCCAGGACAATTCCAAAGGACTAATGATGAAACATACTATCCACCTCCAGAAAAGGAACTGATATTGCTTGAATATAGACTGAAGCATGCCATTTTTCACATTTTTTCCTTTTTTCTTTTATTTGAATCTTCTTGTACAAAAAGACCTATGGAAATGTTTTACATAATTGCACATTTATAACCTGTATCTGACTGCTTCCCATCTCAGACATGGGGGAGTGGAGAGAGGAATAGAATTTGGAACTCTAAACTTTAAATAAAAATGTTTAAAAATTGGGGGTAAAAATTGGATCTGAATATAGATAGTGGCAGATACAGAAAGCTGAGAAGGGTAAAAAGGAATAGCATAATACAGTTTTCACTTTATGTAAATCTGCATTACACAAATTTGACTTTATATGAAGAATTCTTCATGTATCTGAAGCACGGGAAGATGTAACAGAAACATATATGAAGAGAGTTTAGAAAAAAAGCAAGCTCAAAAGTTCATTCCTGATTTTCATGGATTCCATAAATATTAAATTTTCAAAGAAGTAACAAGATTATAAAATTAGCAGAACTTGAGTTAGTAGTGGAGGAGAATGATGTGGAGAAGTTGACTGAATCTCATGGAGAAGAACTGTTGAATGAGGATCTAATTGAGTTGCTAGCTGCAGAGTGCAGACGAGGAAAGAGAAGCTTTGGAACTTGAGATGAGACCAAAAGGATTCACAAGGAAACAGTTGGCAGAAGCATTTCATCATTTGAATTTTTTTTTCTTGTATTGAAAAGATGGATCCAAATACTTCAAGATTTTTAGAAGTTCAAAGACTAGTTGAGGATAATATTGCTTGCTATTATCATATGTATATATGTATGGGGAAAAAGAGAGCCACTGTCCTAACATTTAGATAGCTTCATTAAAAAAGTTGCACAGCCAGCTATCAGTGCTAAAAGGTTCAGTGAGTGGGGGAAGGGCAAACTGCAAACCTATGTTAACCTTATTGTACAGTTCTGTGCATGCTTTGTAATTAACTTTACCTTTCACTTCATAATTCTGTTTATTACCATGTTACAGTATTCAATGTCTGCCTGCATTGTAGTACATTTTATGACTTGTGTAAAGGTATTATTTTGTGCATGTTTTTGTTATATAGCCCAAGTAAAATGGGTGGGTAGGGGCAAATTCACATTACTAGTAGAGGTCTGAAGAAAGGTCCTCTGAAGTAAAGCAAGAACTGTCTTCACTTCAGTAATATTCAAAGGATGTTAGGAATCGAAGAAGCTTTCACATATGCTATCAAGCTCCTCACAGTCTTTGAAGGGCTGACTTTTATATGTACTGTTTAGTTTTACATCACTGTCGTGCAAAGTAATTAAAATATGAATGAATAAATTTACAAGTTGGCAGACACTTGAATAAATTTATGCAATTTAAAAAATTATTTTAAGTATGACTAATAAAATATTTTGGAGTGTCAATATTTTTCCTTAATATTGGGTAATTTCTATTGGAATAAATGATAGGTAACCAATAGTGTTTTGTGATTTCATTAAACCTTTGATGTGGAAAATAAAAATACTTGCCGGTAGAAAAAAAGATTGCTACATTTTAATATAATGGCGATTATTAGAATTTTATTTTGTTTTAGTTGTGTAAATAGCAGTTTAAAATTTACATTGCAGAATTTGGTACAGCTTCAGAATTAAATTTAGCAGTATGTCAGTGTTGAACTCCATGTTTAAAATATATTGATTATGGGAGATGAACTGTCATGTGTATCCATTTTGAAGTGCAATAAAGACCAAGGATTCAAATTGAAAACAATTTGGGGTGCTTTTTAAAAAATAATAGTCTAATAAATTCACGAACCTTTTTCTCGTTCCATCTTTCCCTTTCCCCACTTCCCCATAATGATGGGAAGTTGATTACTTCTGTCTCTGCTTTATCCAAGAGTTTGAAGTCTCCGCCGCCCCCTCTCCACGACCGGACAGGAAAAAAGGCCAATAAGGCTAAAGATTAATTCTAGAATACCAACACTGGGATATTGCCCATCTCTCCCCACCTGTTAGGTGAGAACGGCTCCCAGCGATGCCCTTTCCCCTCAGAGCTACTGGCTTCAAACATCGCGGAATTGCCACATCCCAAGGATTTTTAAAATCTCGGAGTGCGCAGCGCAGGCGTGGCATGCCACGTGACTCAGTATGACCTAGAAGAGGCGGGGCCAGTATAGCCACGTGTCCTCGGGAGCGCCTTCTGATTCTCCCTTCTCTGCTCCAATCCTGCTTCCTGCCTCCTTTACTTCCGGGGGCGTTGGGGCAGCCACGTCATCCTGCCGCTCCGGGCTCTTGGGCTCTTGGGCCGGGCGGTGAATGGTGGGAGTCAAGATGGCGGCCGCGGCTGCAGCCAGTATCCGAGAGAGGCAGACAGGTACCAGCTTCTTTCGTGCCCCTCGTACTTCTCCCCCCCGCCATGCTTAGCTTCGCCTAAAGCCACGGTCGCCTTCCGGGCTGGGCCGCCCGATAGGAGCGGCATCTCCTGTCTGGTCTGTGCTGGTCAGGCAGGAGCCTGGGTGCCGCGGGGCCCCTTCTCCTGTAGTCGGAGGAGAGTGATGCGGCGGCGGGAGCGGGGCTCGGGTCGGGCTGTCCCGGCCCCTTCCCCAGGCCGCTGTGGACTCAGAGCTCTGTCCCTCGCCTTCCCCGCCTGCTGCCCTCCGCTACCGGGCTTCCTTTCTGCGTCCTTCTGCAGCATCCCGGACACCTGAGGAGTCCCTAGTGATTCCCTTTTGCTTTTTGTTTGTCCCTGTCCTGGTTCCGCAGGTTCGTCTGTCTTCCTAGTCGGACGGGCGTCCTTTGGAACAGTTTTCCTGGGTTCATGGTCGAGGGAATGAACGGCCCCTGTTAGGCAGCTTGCAGGGGCGATGATAAAGAGGCGAGGTGATTTAGTTGGCACTTCCAGGGACGAGAATTCACCTGAAAGGACATTCTTTTCCATATGGGTAACGATGCTGTTGCTTCAGTTATTCCTGGAAAATATTTAGCGCTGAGGGAGTTCACATCTCTAGTCTTTACATCAAGTGGTATTGGTAAAATATACATAGATGGGCATTTATACATATACATGCATATTTTCAAAGTTTTCCTATGTCATTTTTTCCCCTTTAAAGGTTCAAATGGCATTTTGATAACTTTGATTAATGTGCATTGTGCATTTAAAGGAATACAATTTTTATTATCTCCAGTTTATGCACTAAAATGTTTGTGGTATATGATGTTTATTTTCCTTTTATTTTTTTAATTCATAGTTTGATCTTTGGAGCTTTGAGTTTTTCCTTTGTATTGGGGCAATGGTCAGTTCAAGATTTTGTTACCATAGAAGTTTACAAATCTACTGACAATGAAAAGCAATTTGAAACGGACCTTTTGAGGATTTCTTAATGATTTTTACTGATACTGTAATAAGAAATGAGAGGGAGAAAGGGCATTTGCCCCAATTTGCCCTGCTTCTCTCTCTCTTTTTTTTTTTACTTAGGTGTCATAAAGAAAGTCAGAAATAGGTCTTTGGGTATGCAAAGAATTGTAGTAAAATTTATGAACCTTCTAAATTAACATTCATATTCAGTTTTGTAGATCTTTCCCCATTAGAACAGAACAGGACAGGGCCTCTGGGGCAGAAAATAAAATAGGGAAGGGGAAGGAATTGGAAGTGTTGTTGCCATTGAGACTGATAATGGAACTAGAGGAAATTAAGGAGGTAGAAGGAAGAATGGCTTTGGTATTTTATCTTCACTCTTCTCCTTTTATCTCTAGTTCCTCCAGTGCTGTCACCTACCCTGCCTGCCCTATGGACTAGCCCTGGGGCCAAGTGAAGAGCTGGAACTAACTTTGGGGAAAGGGGTTTGTGATAAACTGATGGTGAGAAAGGGGAGAAAAGGATCTCAAGTAGTAGCGATGCATCTGAAAAGTAATAAACCATTTTCTGGTCATGGGATCATAAATTTAGAACTAGCAGGGATCTTAAAGGTTATCAACTCCATCTTCCTCATTTTACAGATGAGAAAATTGAGAATCAAAGATGTTCAGTTGCCCAGGTTCACATAAACTAGTTAAGTGTCTGGGGTCACATTTGAACCTAGGTCTTCCTTGACTGAATCTGGGTCCAGTATTCTTATCCTAAACACCAGGTCACATAAATTGGCTGCAATTTAGGGACTTGCATAATTAAATTAGCTTAAAATAGTTCAGAAGTACCCAAATATGTTTGATTCTTTGGAAAAAGTATTAAAATGATAATCTCTGATTAATGCTTATTTTCAAAAATCTCTTTTCACAGCTTAAAAATGAATTTTAAATGACATATTTTGAAATGGGTTTCTTAAGTTCTATGAGAAATAAACTATTTTATCTTTGTATTTAAAATAGAGGTTTCTCATTTCAAAAGGAACATGAGGAAGGCTTAGTATCTTTTCTGAAGGCAAAGCACAGATTTAGATAGAAGATAGAAGTAGACTTTTGAAAGACTTCACTTATGTCATTTTGTAATAACACATTGAACTAATAACACATTGTCCTGATACTGACATTCAGCACTGTCCGCAATCTAGCTCCAGCCAGTCATATCTTTTCTGATATAGGACCTGACTTTGAATGACTGAACCTTTCTGAGTTTCATCTTCTTTATCTGTAAAATGAAGGAGTTGGAATCATTGACTTCTGAGATTCCTTCCAATCTTGAATCTGTGATTCTTCTTCTCCTGTTTTCTGTGGCTTGCCCAGGACCCAAATCTTCTCCCTTAAGTTCCCCATCTTTTTTGATTCCCTGGTTCTAGTGTGACAGCATTTGTCCTGCCCAGGGCATCTCCCTGACAGCTTCACTCAATGCAGCCCCTGTACTTCCATTCCCTCTTCTGGTGGTAGATTTGTATGTAGAACAACCTCATCTTTTATAGCCTTAAGTTTGGGTAGCCAGTGTATGTAACACTGTTTTATCTACTTTATTTCTCTAGAACAAATTAATGATGATTGGTGAACTATTCCTCTATGTGCTTGTCTTTCTTTTAGTTGTAAGGTTGTCTGAAGAACTGTGAGGATTATTTTGAGAAATCTATTCATAGAAACATAGATTGAGATTTGGAAGGGACTTTATAAGTTATCTAGTCCAACACCCTCATTTTGCAGATGAGAAAACTGAGGCCCAGAGAGGAAAAGTGACTTGCTTAACATTGTATAAGCAGTTAGTGGCAGAGCAGAGTTTTGAACCCAGGTCTTCTTATTCTAGATCTAATCTGCTTTCTACTATACCAGGTTGCCTCTCAGGATGGGGTAGGTAGTATGGGGACAAGAAAGCTTGTAGGGTGAGAAGAAGGGAGCTGGACATAGTTAAGGATATTAGAGTAGGTAACTAGGGCCCCTGGAAGAGTGAAGGAAGTATGGAGAGCCATGTACACAGCAAAAATAAATATAGCATTTCCTAGATGCTGAGGAGAGACTTGGAATGTGGCAGCTTTGGCCTCCCTCCCTCCACCCATATTTCATTTGAACCATGAAGTTATAGAGACCTAAGTTTAGAACTGCCTGGTGAGAGAGACATAGAGAGAGTATGTGTTAATATATCTCATTTGACCTTGATCTTTCATGTAATACTAATTATCCTGCCTTGTCAGTCTTCCTCTGCACTCCAGCTCCTGCCCTTACACTAGGAGATTTCTGCATACAGTGTATATGTTGATGTTCCATCACACATTCTGGCTTCAATATTCATCAACCTTATCAAACTCCTCCCGTGACATATGTCTTTAGTTACACAACTGAGTAGTCTTATCTTTGATCTCAGCATCACTCCCTATCCTGCTTTTATGATCAATAATTTTTAAATCCATCTATCCAACCATAACCTCCTAACATTCCATCTCTCTTTATGCTTCACTGCTTCTGAAACTTTTCTTCATCCTCAAAAAGAATTATTACCACCCTTCACTGCATTCTCCAGCCATTATTCTTGCTCTCGTTTATTTTTCTTCCTTTCTCATTTTCTACCCAATTTAACTTTATGCCAGTTCAACTTTGTACTGTTTTTTATGCTCTTGAATCCCTTGGGCCCTTCTACTAGTGTCACTCATGGCTTGCCCAATCCCAGTCTTCGATCCGCCTCCACCATCTACCTGCCTTCTCTGCTCCTGTTCAGGTGCTGCTCAGTGGAGCAAGAGAAAGTCAGGAAACCTTGTTGACTGGATCCAGTAGAATTGATTTTGTAATCTGAACTGAGCCCTCACTGCTAAAAGGTAATTCCTTACTCTTCTTAATTGATTGCACCTTCCCTACTCTCCACTCCTTGTTCTCAGCAAAGAACCTTGTCTTGCACTTCAGTGAGGCAATAGAGGCCAGCCCTGGTGAGTTCCCTCTTCTCCCTTGTTCTACATCTCAGATCTCCTTGCTAGCATCACTCCTTTTCTTCTTTAGTCTCTGATGAAGAGTTGTTTTTTATTCTCATCCAAGTTAACCACTCTACTTCTACCCTTGATCTCTTCTCTACTCTTTCTTCTTACCTGCCTTCCTGTCTCCTGATACTGTTTACCTCATCCACAAACAAGTCCAAGTTATCCTCCCCATCCTTAAAAACTCTCATTCTTACTCATTTTAAGTTATAGCCCTACATCTGTGCTCCATTTCATTGCCAAACCGGGGGGAGAAAAGTAATCTTCACTCCTTGCCTCCGTTTCCTCTCCTCTTATTTTTCAACCCCTAGCAACTTGATTTCTTACTTTATCCAAATCCAGTGTCCTTTTCTCAGTGTTCATTCTTTTTCATCTCTCTATAGCATTTGGTATTGTTGGCCACTTACTCTCATCTCTCTGGATTTCATCTCTTTATGTTTTCCTCCTACCGGTTTGGTCAGTCCTTATCCCGGCTTTGTAGGACCATCATCCACGATCTACCCCTTAGCTGTTGGGGTAACCCCAGGGATTTGTCTTGGACTCTCTTCTCTCTGCTCTCTCTGGTTTCATCTCTCCCTTTTCAGTTTCACCCCATCTCTGCTGAGGAGTATCAGATCTATAATTTTATTCCCAGTTTCAGATTCTTAAGTCCATTATTGCCAATTGCTGGATATATCTTTAAATAAACCTAGAACTGTCCAACCATTTTTATCAGCCCCTCCAGATTGCCACTGAGAAGCACTTCTTTGCTTCCCACTTTACCTTTTCCCAAACACATTTTGCAAAGCCCTTTCCCAGGAAAATTTTGTCCGGGGCTTTAGGGGACCACGCTGGAGTCTCCTAGTACATGATAAAATTGCCTCTTCTTTCTACCACCTCCTTCTCACACCTGGAGTCAGGCTTGGTTGTCTCAGCTAATGGACTTCACACAGGAAGGACATCTTGCTACGGTAGAAAAAGCTTCTAGATTGGGAATCAGAGGCCAGAGGTTTGGCCTCCAGTGCTAGCTTAGCCACTTATTGTGTAACCTTAGGCTAAATACACTTTCACTCTAGTTTCTCTATCTATAAAATAAAGAGATTTGACTTTATAAGTTTACTTCCAGTTCTATGCTGTTTCTGTAGTTCTAGTTTTTCTGATATTTAACTTATTTTGTTTGACCCCAGTTAGAATCTTTTGCTGAAGTTTAGAAGTGTATTTTTTCTTTAAATTTTTTTGGAGATGCTACTTTTGACTAATTACTATTGTGTACTTAACCAACTTTTGGTAATGTTATAGGTTCATGAGCCATTCAGATTGTCTAAGTACCTCACATACCTCAATTAATAAATCCTGTGGGAATCTAAGTTCCTTCAGGCAAAGCTGGCTTGATTACAAAGTGTAAACTGAGGGAAGTTGCAGTTTCCCTTTTATTGTGCTGGTGGTAGTAGGAAATGGAAACAGAGGTGATGTCCCTCTTGTGCCCTTTCTAGTAGCAGGATCCTAGACCCAGCTAAGAGAAGGGCTATATTCCTGGTGCTTAAATAGCTTGGTAACCTAAATGTAAATGGTAACCATTTACATGTTGCCTCTATGCCAGTGGATGGGAAATGGTCCTGAGAAGTAGGAAAAGCATTACTAATTTTGTGTGGTAGGTGCATAACATTTGATGGATAAACATATTGTTAAAACCGAAACATCATTAATAGTGTAAGTTCTATAGTACTAATGATATAGTTTTATACTTTGGTATCCATATTACAGTGTTGTGCATAGTACTTTAGTATTGATGTCAAGTATATGATGGTAGTATCAACTTCTATGGCAGGGGCACCATGGATTGGGAGGTGAGTCAAGACTGGTGGGGGAAGTATGCATTGTAGGATTATGGGAGCAGCAGCCTCCCCAGTTCTTTTGTAAATTTGTGTTTGTAAATTGGACAGTATTTGGGATTCTGTTCCTAATTAAAATGAGAGAGAAAGTAAAACCGAATCAAAAGCAGTAGTGTTTGATATAAATGTCTTTTTTTTCTTTTAGTGGCTTTGAAACGTATGTTGAATTTTAATGTTCCTCATGTTAAAAATAACACTGGAGAACCAGTATGGAAGGTAAGACATTTACTGTAATGGGGAGAATTTATCTCTTTCCTTAAATATAGCATATGATGCATTTATTTGATATTACATCACTTATTTTCAAGTCTATATTTAAAAAAAAATTAACTACCTCATTTATTGGAAGCCTGCCTTCATCTTTAAAATAAATACTTTGAAAGTTGGGTAGTATTGTATGTGTCCAGTTAATTTTTCTTTGCCTCAACAAGACTGATAACCTAGATGTTTTGAGATTTAGAGGAAAAGAACACCGACAGATTTTTTTAAAAGTATTATACTCTGTAAAATAAGATCAAAAAGCTTTAGCCTCTCTAAAGAGAGCCCCTTATTAACTTTGCCATCTTCATGCTGTCTCATCATCTATTATTTATTGGAGAAAAAGTTGAAATGTTTATAAAAACATTTATTAACACTTCTGTTATCTCTCAATTGTCCATAACTCTTCTTCATATTCAAAATTTTTAAAAAATTGTTATAAACAGTATTGAACAGCATTATTTCCAATTTTGCAAATATCTTCATTAAAATAGATCCAGTATATTATGCTGTTATGCATCTACAGATTTTCGTTTAGCTAAAAAAAAGTTTTATTGTTATTTTTACACTCCATTTTTGCCTAGAAAAATGTTTTAGAATAATAAATGTATAATATTGCCATATATTAATTTGATAGTACTATAATTTTTAAAAATGAGTTGCTGTATTGTTGCATACTTTTTTAAGTGAGAAATGTTAAATTTAGCATGCTTAAAAATTCAGTGTGATTATCAAATTAGCCAAAATTTACTTTGATATGTCTGAAAATCAAGTTTATTTGTCTTTCAGTAGTAACAGTGTTTCAAAGGAATTTTGGGGGGGTCTGTTTGGGGGCAGGTGCTCATTTTTGACAGATTTGGCCAAGATATTATCTCTCCCCTGCTGTCTGTGAAGGAATTGAGAGACATGGGAATCACTTTGCATCTGTGAGTTTTAACACATTCAAAATCATTTTAAGTTATTTGAAAAGAAATGTTAAAAATTTTTCTGCTGCATGACTGTGATTCCTGGATATTTTGATCGATGGTAGGTGAAACTGGAAATGTGAGACAAAAGTTTGCCAGTGTCTTTTTTAACTCTTAAGAGAATTTCTCAGTGTAAGACTCTGGACCTGCAAGAGTTTGCTTTTCCTTTTTGGGACTACAAAGATGTATTTGTTTAACTCTTTAAGCTGTTGTAATTAGCATATGGGGCGTTCATTATCTTCCCAGTTACTCAGCTTCATACTTTGTACAACTTTATACTCAGAATTATTAACTTTTTTCCATTTAAAAATACTCTGAAAGTAAACACTTCATCCTCGTTCCCTGTATGCACTCATTTTCCAAGTCTTGTCAATTCCACTTCTACATCTCTCACATTAATCTCCTCCCCATTCTTTTGACAGTACCTTAGCTAAGGCTCTGCTCACTTCTCATCCAAGCTAGTTGCTCTTAATTGGCCTCCCTGCCTCAGATCTTTCCTGCCTCTAATCTACCTTCCCCATAGTGGCCCAAATGATAATCCTAAAATACTGGTGTTACCATGTCAGTTCCCTGTTCAAAAATCTTCCCTGGCTCTGTATTGCCTCTAGGCTATAATACAAACTTCTTAGTCTTGAATTTAAAGCACTTCCATATTCTGACGTCTACCTTTCTTTTCAATCTTTATTTTATGTTATTTTTTATAGGCCCTGCGTTCTGGCCAAAGTGGACTAATAACTGTTTTACAAGCCCTGTGTTCCATTCCTTTCCTCTCTGCATTCTCAGAGGCTGTTTTACATGCCTGTAATCCATTTCCTCCTCATCTCTGCCTCTCATAAATAATAACAACGGGGACAGGTAGGTGGCTCAGTGGATAGAGCACCAGCCCTGAAGTCAGGAGGACCTGAGTTCAAATCCAGCCTCAGACCAAACACTTGACACTTACTAGGTGTGTGACCCTGGGCAAGACGCTTAACCCCAATAACCTAAAAAAAATAATAATAATAATAACAATAATATTAATTTGTTCACTCTTGTTTTAGTTGTGTCCAACTTTTTGTGACCCCATTTAGGGTTTTATCAGCAAAGATACTGGAATAGTTTGCTATTTCCTTCTCCAGCTCATTTTACAGATGAAGAAACTGAAGCAGACAGGGTTAAGTGATTGCCCAGGGTCACACAGTAAGTGTCTGAGTCCAGATTTGAACTCAGGAAGAGGAGTTTTCTTGCCTTTTAGGCCTAGCACACTATCCACTGTACCACCTAGATGCCCTCCAATATTAATAGACGGCATTTATATAGCATTTTAAGATTTGCAGAGTGCTTCATAACTATCTCATTTGAGCCAAAAACAACCCTAGGAGATAGGTGATATTACTATTCCAATTTTCAGATGAGGAAACTGAGTCAGACAGGGGCTAAGTGACTTGCCCCGGTTACATTAATAAGAGTCTGAGGCTGGATTTGAACTCAGGTCTTCCTGACTCCAGGGTCTTGCTCTCTGCACTGTTAACCAGCTGGCTTAGCTTGTCTTCCTTCAAGACAGCCTATGTACCTGCACCCCTGTGACCTTTTTTGGTCTGTGCCCTTCATCTAATTGCTAGTGTTCTGTGCTGCCACATTTACCATGTGTTAGGCAAGACATGTTGTAGACAGGTAGGACATGTGCTCCTTAGCCTAGGTAACTGTTAGAATAGTAAATGTATAATGTTGCCATATATTAATTTGATAGTACTATAATTTTTAAAAATGAGTTGCTGTATATTACGTGCCTTGTTCACAGTAAGCACCTAATAAAGCTTTGCAGAATTATTGAACAGTCATCCTTATTTTCTTTGGCTCATTTGATAAATTTGCTGTGATCTAGCTTTGCTAGTTCAGGGTCAATTAAAGGGAAGAGATGACAGGAGAATGTATTTTACAGTGAATTGTTCAAGGACAGTGAGGTAGATAATAAGGAGGGCAGGGCTAACATCAGGTGAGCATCATTGTAAGGTAGAGATGTCAGCCAGCTATCTTTATTTTCATAGCAGTAATAACTGACTTCATGTACTGCTTTGCCCATATTATTTCGTTTGAATCTCACTACAACTCTGAGGTTGTTTCCAAAGAGGAAACTGGGAAACTGGCTCAGAAAGGTTAAGCGACCTGCTCATGATCACACAACTGGACACCAAATTCATTATGCTATCCTGCCTTTCTAGAGCCCTTTCCTTATAACCTCTGGTGAAGAATTGCTGTTTAAGGCCTCCTTGTAGGCATGAATAATTAAGAAGAAAAGTGGTTTGTAATAAGTGGTTAATTTTATACTTCTGACTTTTGACAGGCTTTTGCACTCTGATCGGGATCCGATACCTGATGTCCCAGCAGTTTATTTTGTAATGCCCACAGAAGAAAATATTGACAGAATGTGCCAGGTAACATAACTTCTCCTTATTATTGAATATTGGATTTCATAATAGGTAATCAAAGTATTGTTGTTTAATTTTTAAAAACTATCAAAGCTGGAAAAAATTTATGGCTGCCTTTTGCTTTTATGTCACGTATACTTCCTTTCTCCACTATACAATGAGTCTTCTCTTGTAAGAAGGATTTTAAGAGAAATGGCTTAGCTAAACTCACCAGCACATCAATTGTGACTGGCATCGGCAGGATTTGTAATGTGCTACATCCTAGTGCCCTCCTTCTTTACCAGGACAGATTTTTTTTTTATCTTCAAATTTGCCATGAAAAATGTTGTTGAAGAATTTTTGCTTTTAATTGGTTATTTGATAGAGCCCTTGAGAAGAGAAGCTAGAACAGTTTGGGGGCACCCCACACGTAGGGGATGGGAAGTAAGCAGGATGATGATGATTTTACAAAAGAAGCTGAGAAGAATTGGCTGGATAGCTAAGAGAAGCAAGAGAAAGTAATGTCATGAAAACCCAAAGTGGATGAAGTGGTGGGAGGGAAAGGTGACCTGTAGTGTCAAACGCTGCAGTGAGGTAAGAAGGGCAAGTCCCTGAGAAAATGCTGTTAGATTTGGCAGTTAATCTGTTGGTTGACTCTGCAGTGGTGTAAATGGAAATAACAACAAAAATCTGAAACTGATTTCTCTAATTACAGTGATCAAGCTTTTCTCTATTGAAGAGATGAAAAAATGGACATCTCTCCTTCATTGGAGAAGTCAGGAACTATGGCTGGGGAATATTGTGTGTGCTGTCAGACTCAGCTGAGTGTTGGTTAATTTTGCTGAATTGCTTTCCTTTTTTTTTCTTTAATTTTTGTAGGGTCAATTGTAATTTTTTTAAAAATTGCATTGTTTCTTTGCCATTTTGGGGTCAGTAACATGTCATTGATAAATATACACCAGCTATTTTTCATCTGGACCTGTGATTTCATTGATTTAAGGAACTCTTGGTGAGGAAACTCCTTCTAGCAACACTGATTGTCAGTGTTGTGTCACTTACGGAGCCAGAGATGCCTGGGACTCTTTGAGGTTAAATAACTGTCCAGGGACACATGAGCAGTCTGTATCCAGGGAAGGCCTTAAACTAGGTTCTTCACTTGTCTGAGGCCTCTGATGCTGGTTCTTGATCCATTATGTTATATTTTATCTCTAATTCCTGTTATTTTTTTTTAAATCATAATTTATAGTACTACATAACTATGATAGTCTTTTTTACTTTCTCCAATGTCACATTTATCCTTTATTTTTCAAGCATTTGTGAGCAGTTATGTTATTCAAGTTTAAAATGGATAGCCTTATAAAATCTTATATACAGTATATTTATTGTGTTGACAGGATCTTCGAAATCAGCTTTATGAATCTTATTATTTAAATTTTATTTCTGCTATTTCAAGAAGTAAACTGGAAGATATTGCAAATGCTGCTTTAGCAGCTAGTGCAGTCACACAAGTAGCAAAGGTAAGAACGTTTTGTTTCGCTCTTAGCATTCTAGATCAAAATGTCAGTGTTATGTTATGTTATGTTATGTTATGTTATGTTATGTTATGTTATGTTATGTTATGTTATGTTATTTATAATGACCAGTGTTCTGGTCCCACTTACGAACACTCATTGATGTGGCTAAGTAGGCCCTGTTGTCCAGACTTCAGCAATCAAGGGACATTCATAAATAACCACACCGTCAATACATTTTGTACCAAGTCTGATAATAATGCAGAAAACAAATTACAAAAGTGAAGTAAAAAAGATAGCCTGTAAAGTAATACGAGGGTGATAAGTAGGCTTTACTCAAAAACTTTAAAAAACAAATAGAACAAGTCCTTGTCTTGGGCTGTTGCTTTATTTTTTCTGCTTAGTGTGAATTAGAAGCAGCTTGCTGTTTTAGTCAGCGAGAGTTCTTGTTCACACTGTGCTGATGTTTGTTTTGTGTCAATTACTATAGTCTTAGAGCTCTTTAATTGTGGGAAAATCATAGGGAAGTCATTTTTTTAAAAAAATTTTTATTTGTAGGCAATTGGGGTTAAGTGACTTGCCCAGGGTCACACAGCTAGTAAGTGTCAAGTGTTTGGTCTGAGGCTGGATTTGAACTCAGGTCCTCCTGACTCTGGGGCAGGTGCTCTATGCGCTGTGCCACCTAGCTGCCCCAAGGAAGTCATATCTTAAGATGGCTTGTAGCACAGTTGTCTTTCTTCCTTTCCCTGTGGGTAAGGACAGATCACTTAAAACTCTCTAAGCTTCTGTTTCTTCATCTATAAAATGGAGATAATAATTGCCATACAGGCTTTGTAGGGGGCTTTTGTGAAGGAAACCAATTACAAAAAGTAAGCATTATATAAAAGTGGTGTTGTATTGTCTTTTGAAAGGAAAAAAGTTGGTGGGGAGAACAGTCTTAACTATGACAAATGCATCACATTATAGTCAGAAGTCAGTATTAAATATTTGTAATAATAACTGGTATATAGAATTTGGAGATTTGCAGAGTGCTTTCCATACATCGTTCTCATTTGAGAACAGCCTTACAACCCAGTAGAGGTATTCCTTGCCTCACTTTAGGGACATGAGATGGTTTGCTTCCCCTCTGGCTTTGCCCCTCAGATCCTCATGCGGGTATTTTCAGCATCTGCAGCCAGATGGAACCTCTACCACGGAACCTGCAGTTTGAGTGATAGACAAAGGAGTACAAGACCAGAGTGAAGAAGGCAGCTTAAAAAAAAAAATCAGACAAAGCTGATAACTGATAATCTATGGATAAGGGAAGAGTTCATGACTGAACAAGTGATAGAGAAAGAATGTCAACACAAGATAAAATGCAGTATTTTGATTATATAAAATTAAGTTTTTGCACAAACACATCTAATGTAGTTAAAAATTAGTGGGGAAACAGGTAAATGGGAAAAAGTCTTAATAGCACGCTTTTTGGAAAAATGTCTCAAATCCAAGATATATAAGGAACTGATTCAAATGCATAAAGCCATAACCAGTTCTCCAGTAGATAAATAGTCATCAGGATATAAATGTGCAGTTTTCAAAGGAAGAAATTCAAGCTATCAATAACCATATAAAAATGCTTTAAATCACTAATACTTAGAGAAATGCAAATTAAAGCAATTTTGGGATTCTACCTTAAACCTATTTTACTGTCAAAAAAGAGGAAAATCACAAATACTGGAGAGACTAAAGGGAAACGGGCACGTTAGTACATTCTTGGTGGAACAGTGAATTGGTCCAGCCATCCTGGAAAGCATTTTATAACTACGTCCGTAAACTTATAGACCCTTTGACTTAATTATACTACTGTAAGCAGTATACGTAAAGAGATCAAAGAAACAGAAACAGAACTAATACACAAAATGCTTATAGCAGCTCTTTTCCTCCAAAAATTGGAGACTTGATGTGATGCCTATCTATTGGGAAATTGCTAAACAAATTATGATATGTGAATCTAATAGAATATTACTGTGCCATAAGAAATGTTGGAATGAATTTCATAGGAAACTGGGAAGGCATCTCTGAAATAATGTAGAGAGAAGCAAACAGAAGTAGGACAATTTATACATTGACATTATAGAGAAAAACAACTTTGAAAGACTTAGAACTCTCATCAATATAGTGATAAACACTGGTTCAGAAGATTGCACATGAAACAAGCCATTTGCCTCCTGCTACAGAGATGATGAACTTAAAATGCATACAGAGGCATATGTTTTCCTATACGGCTAATGTGGCAATTTGTTTTGCTGAACTATCCATGGATATTTATGATGAAACTTTTTGTTGTTCCATTTTTGGGGTGTGGTTGTAGGAGGAAGTGGTTGTAGAGGGGCAGAGCTGTGAGAGAGATGGACTGTATGTTTGTTATTACTTAATTTGCAGAAAAAGAAAATCTGTAGTAATATTTGAGCCAGAAGACATTTTAACCACTTACATACAAAGAAAATACCAGAGAGGACACAAAATTTCTCGCCAAATATCTTTTTTTTTTTTAAATGTTAAAGCTGGTTAATTATTGGACTACTTACAGTAAAACCCTAAGGGAATAGATACTTTGCTCAAATCTTTTTGTTAAGAGAAAACAGAGAAATTCCTAATAAAGAAGATTGAAAATAGAATGCTGAAACTTAAAATTACAAAATCTGAATTATATTACCCTAGAGCAACAAACGATCTCTCTAGGTTAGATTCTAATGAGTGCAATTTCTTTGAAAAAAATGGAAAGGCCTTTGTTGTATTCCATCCAATAGGATCCAGCACAACCTTCCTTTATTCTAGAGATTCATTGAATTTACCTGTGGTAGAGGTAGGCAGAATTAAAAATAGTATTTCTCTTTAACTCCTTTCCCTGGACACTGGGAGATTTTAGAGCATCTCCTTTGCCACTAAAGTGACAGAAGAAGGAAGAATCTCCATGATCAGTTTCTACTTCTTTAAAAACTGCAGAAGTATTTAAAAAGGGTTGTAAAACATTTTAAAAATCAGTTACTATAAATACTAGTAAATGCTATTTTTTTAGGGTTTTTTTTAATCATTCTGTGTAAGTAAGGATGTTTTAAATGAATTTTTAGGAAATCCAGAAGTAAAGCACATTTTGATCAAATATGCTGTTACACCATTTTTCTGCTTTTTCATTGTAGGATATTGATGAAGGGTTTTTAAAAATATTATTTCAGCCTAATTTTTACAGTTGGAGATAATTTCTCCATTTTTAATGTGACCGTTGTATTAGATTAGCTGTATTAAAATAATTTTTAAAAATTATCTTAAGGCTTGTGTTGGAAGTGGTCTGGCTCTTCCCGATGATTTTCACCAACTAGGGTTCAGAAAAGTTGGCTGATTTCAGTAATAGAACCTGTTTCTGGCTGAGAGAACTCCTGCTTTGCTCTAAGTGCAATGTATATCAGTACTATTTTTATTGTACACAATGTCTCTACCACTTAGTAGAGTGACCTAATATGCCAAAATCCCAATTTGTTAACACATACTCATCATCAATTACTTTATTACTTTTCTCAGGACACTTTATATTCTTGCTGCATTCATAAAAAGAACTGTCTTGGAACATTTCAGTTATTAATATTTGATAGAGGCATTTAAAATGTTTTTTATTTCTGTACTTTCAGCCTCTCCACATACTACCTAGAATACAGGCAAAATCTTAGGCAGCTAGCTAGTTAGTATAGTGGATAGAGACCTGGAGTCAGGAAGACTTGAATTCATATCCTGCCGCAGATGCTTAATAGCTGTATGATGCTGGTCAAGTTACTTAACTTCTCACTAACCTCACTTTCCTTATTTGTAAAATAAGGAAAGTATATACCTCCTAGGGTTGTCATGCGGTTCAAATGAGATAATATATGAAAAGCACTTTATAAATGCTGGCTGTTATCTTGGAACAAATTATTTTCTTATGGGAATTAAATTTTATTTAATGTTGCTTGAAATAAGTGGGCCATTTGATAGAATCTGGAAACGTTATATAGTCTTATTTTAATTTTTTCTTGGTAGGTCTTTACCTCACTCATTTATAAGTCATATTCTGTCTCATTTTAACTTAAATTGTAATTAACTTTATCTTGTGCAGCCTACCTATTAATTCTATGTATAAGATTTTAAAAATTTTATTAAGATTACAGCTGTAGGGGCAGCTAGATAGCGCAGCGTATAGAGCATCAGCCCTGGAGTCAGGAGAACCTGAGTTCAAATGTGGCCTCAGACACTTACTAGCTGTATGACCCTGGGCAAGTCACTTAACCCCAGTTGCCTAACCAAAAATAAATAAATAAATAATAAAGATTGCAGCTGTCAGGGGAGGACTTTTTTTTTTTAAGGCAATTGGGGTTAAATGACTTGCCCAGAGTCACATAGCTAGTGAGTGTTATGTGTCTGAAGCTGGATTTAAACTCAGGTCTTCCTGACTCCAGGGCATGTGCTCTATCCACTGCACCACCTAGCCGCCCCAGGGAGGAAATGTTATTAACAGTCAAAAGTTTAACAGTACTGCAGTGTTTTTAAAAGTTAAATTTCCTTTAGGAAACCAGATGTTTGTTTGTCAATTTGTTTCAGTTTTTACAGCAACATATAAAACTTTATTTCCAAGTATTTATATTATTTATGTATGCTTCTGGATAGCAAGTTGTTAGTTTCTTGACCACGGGTAGGCTTGGGTGATTATTATATTTTTACGAACACAATTTTGAATATTGGATTGTTTTTATCTACATATTACTTAAGAGAACTTGGAGGAGACATTTTATTACAAAAGAAAAATTTGTACTTATCCACAAGTATTTAGTGACTGTAATGTCTGAGGGGGAAAAGTACTTTAACTATGCTATGGAATTTTGTTTTGATAAACATTTTTGGAAAGGTTAAAAGAAATCAAACCCTGTGGGGTACTATAGGTTGTTGTCCCCATGCTGCTTGTGTTAATACCCTTTCTTCTCCTAATTTAAATAATATTCAATTTTTTTCAAATTCCTAAATGCTATCTCAGTTCTTTGTGTATGGATCAGACTGTAGGTATAATGGAGTGAGTAGATTAAAAAGTAGGTCAGTCAGCAAACTCTTATGATTTAGTACTATACTTAACTAAGCCCTGGGCATATGAAGAAAGGGCAGTTAGGTGGTGCAATGAATAGAGTATCAGGCCTGGAGTTAAGAAGACTCATCTTCTTGAGTTCAAATCTGGCCTCAAACATGTAACTTTTATTAGCTGTGTGACTCTGGGCAAGTCACTTAACCCCAATTGCCTCACTACCAAAAAAAAAGAGCAAACCCCAAATCTGTCCTGAGATATTTGCTAGTTGTATGACCCTTGCCGAGTCACTTAATGCTGTTTGCCTCAGCTTCCTCATCTGTAAAATAAGCTGGAGAAGGAAATGGCAAACCACTCCAGTATCTTTGCTAAGACCCCAGATGGGGTCATAGAGAGCTGAAAACAACTAAACAACAAAATATGAAGAAAGGTAAAAACATAGTACCAGCCCTCAAGTTGCTCAGGCTCTAATGGAGGAACTGCAATAAGCAAAATAACTATGTACATACAAGAGCTATACAATAATATAAACAGAAGATAGTCCCCGAGGGGAAGAGGGGTGGTTGGGTTGGAAAGCAGCTTTTCATTCAATAAGTGAGTGGCTCTTTTTTGCAAAGCATTTGAGTCATCATTCTTACTTCCCATTATGTTCCTTTACTGTTAATACTTTATTTTCCTTTTATCCAGAAGAGCCCACTCTATTTCTAGTTGTTTTAGGCCTATACTTGCATTTTTCTACTTTGTTAAAAGGTAGGCCACTCTACAACTTTCTTTAAAAAAATAGCCTTCAAATTCCCACCAAGTCTCTTCTTAATGTTTTTTTTATTTCACAGAAAACAAAAAGATAAATGATAGTCTAATTTGAATTCCCTTAATGCATTTCAGACATTTATCTTACAATTTGTAGTTGGTATTTTTTAGGAGTGTGGATTTATCCCCAGTTTATATTATAGAGCATTTTTTAATTTCTAAGTTCTAGAGGAAAATATGGTTGTCAAAACATAATTTTAAGTTTTATATTTAAGTTTAAATAGCTTAGAATGGATATCCCTTTTGCTTTTTTAGGCAAATTGTATATTTTTTATTATCCACATTTTTACTTCACTCCTACTAAATTAGGTAATAGTTTAGCTAGCATGATGATCAGTCCTAGTAGTTTCTATTTTTTAGCTCCAGTAGATTTTATCATTGACTAGAACTAAATTATAATAATTCTTTCACAGATGTTCCCTTTTTTCCCTTAGGTTTTTGATCAGTATCTCAATTTTATTACTTTGGAAGATGATATGTTTGTGCTGTGCAATCAAAATAAGGAACTTGTCTCTTATCGTGGTAGGTAAAAGTAAAGATTGTCATATGTGTAGAAATACATAAGTTTAAAGATTTTCTTTTAAAAAGTAATGATTTATGGTGATAGTAATTTTTTTTTTAATTAGAGAATGTTTGGTACTTTAAAACCAGAGTTGTTCATAGATCTATGAATATAAAATCATTAGTAGATCCCAATGTATACTTGGATATCAGCAACCTTATGAATATTAAGATCAAAAAGCATTTGTCTAGTGCCTCTACACTGTTATATTAGGTTTTGTATAGGTTTTAAGATGTAAGTTTCTTAAAAACAGGGCTCAGATAATAACGTCATGAATGATTTCCATCACTGAGATATAATAACCCCCACTCTTTGAAAATATGACTATAAATTGTGGTGTAAAATCTTTTCAGTTTTAATTTACCTGTGGGATAACAAGGCTTAGTACACTTAGTCATAGTTTTAATAAGCAACTTAACTTAGAACTATGTTATTTTAGTTTATTTGGACTTTCATTGGTTTCACTGTCAAATGTGTTGTGAAATGAAATAACTGAAAAGGTAGTTTAGCAGTTTTAGTCTTTCCCCTCATCCCCATCCCAAAGCAGTGATTTCACATGTAGGGAGCTCCCAGGGAGGAATTTACTTTATCCATCCAGATTGATTCCTTTCTGCAATTAATAGTAGTCTTAGAGTTGTCTGGAGCATTCAGGGGTGAAGTGACTTGTACAGATGGTATTTGTCAAGCAGAATTTGAAACCAGATCTTCCTGACTCCCAAGGCCAGGTATTATTACTTCACTACTATCCACTACTCCGTGGTGCCTCTCTTTTACCATTTGGAATATCAGCTTGTTTGCTTAGAGTAGATGGTGGATAAATAGAGAGAGAGGATTTCGATCTTGGCATATGCAAGTAATTAGTTATCTATTATCCCATTGTTAAAAGATAAATGATCTAGTTCCTAAATAGTCTAAGGACTCAATAACAACCATTTTTTTGGTTTAAAATCTAGTAGTTATTTTTGAGTAGTCAAGTACATCTCTTACAATAAACTTTTAATTTTTTTTTCTTAATCAGTAATAGAGTATTTAAAAAATCTTGTGGAGGAATTCACAAGCTTTTTTCATCTTAAAATTTTGCTTCATGTGTACTAAAGAGAGAGCTCATGTATTCTTTAGCACTACTATAAATTCTTTAGCACTCTAGTCTCAACTCACATATTCCGCTAATACTTCTGGCCTTGCTGTATTGTAAACATGACTTCTTAACCATTTTTGTGACATAGATTCCTTTGGCAGTCTGGTGAAGCCTAAGGGTCCCTTGTCAGAATAATGTTTTTAAATACATAAAACACTTAGGATTACCAAGTTAACCAATTATATTGAAATACAGTTATCAACAAAATAGACAATTATTAACCAAAAAAAGGTCACAGAACCCAGGTTAAGAATTCCTTAAGAATCTTTCTGTCTTAGGAGACAGTTTCATGACTTTCTGTGGTTGAAAACGGTTCATCACTTGTAACTAACCTTCTAGTAAAAGTCTTCTTTTAACTTAGTAAGATGGGCCCTCAGAATAATATGGTCTGTTTCAGAAACCGTATGAAAAACTGTTCTTGTCTGGTAGAACCTGCCAGCATTTACATTCAGTTAATGTAGCCTCCAAGAACGCAAGTTAACCTCCCCACTATTTTGTGATATTGGAGGGGCTTTAGTGAGTCACCCTGGCAGAAAGTTGGAAAATTGTTTTCTGCTCAGTTGAAACTCAGATTAGGGATCTCTTTTTCTGTGATGCATATTACAGATAATATAGTGATTTCTGCTAATGTCTCATCCACATAACAGAGTTTGAGTTCCACAAGGGCAGAGACTGTAAAAAGATCTTTTATTTAATCTTTGTTTCTCTCCTAGTCCTAGTATATTGCTCTCCATATAGGTATTTATGTTTGTTGAAGTTGAAGTTTTAGGTAAAGTTAATGTCTTTTAAATTCTGTTTTTCAAATGAGCTACATATAGTTAAACTCTATTTGTAAATTATAGAGTGTCTCCATAGTAAAGTGACTTTTAGTCACTTTTATCGTGGATTTCCTGTTCTTGATTTTTGAGACATAGAATTTAATAATGAAATTTGGACATCATGTTTTTTTATTTTAAGAATGTAATAAAGTGTCTCATACAGCCTTTAGTACTAGAAATATTTAGTGTTAGTAATGCTGTGGAACTATTTAAGCAGTTGTTAATAAATTAATGGATTTGATGTAGACATATTTTTGTTACCTTTTTCCTTTCACCAATTTCATTTTAGCAATTAACAGACCAGATATTACAGACACAGAAATGGAGACCATTATGGACACTATTGTTGACAGCCTCTTTTGCTTTTTTGTTACACTTGGTAAGTTTTAGTTTTATTCTTTTATATGAAGAAAGTTTAATTTTAAATTTATATGTTATTCATGCAGTAGGCTGAGAGATGAAGAGAATAGAAGATACTGCTGTACTTATTGCTGACTATAAAAAAAAATGTTTGCTATGGTAGATCAAAACAACTGACTGAAAAGCTTTCCTGTATTAAGATGTCCACCATCCATACATTAGAATTATGTGAGATAGAACAATTGAGAGAACGTTGTTTGATTATCCTCTGATCATTAATATTAGGTGAGGCATGAAACAGGTTGATACATCTATGCCACTGTCATAAAGAAAATGCTGCTTTAGAGTCCTATTTGAACAGGCATTTCCTATTGGTGATTAGGTTTTCCAAATGTTGTTGATGACATTGATTGCCAACAAGTCCCTTCAGACTTTCAGAATTCCTAAATGTGTTCCATAACCACTCAAAAAAGTTGGGCCTAACTAACCGTGGAACAACCAAGTAGATGAAGGATCAATCAATTAATAGGCATTTATTAAATGCCTAGTACATAACCAGGCCCTGGGGATACAAAGAAAAAATGAAATAGTACTTGCCTTCAAAGAACTTAGTCAATTGAGGGAGACAGTGTGTATCAAGCATGCCTGTGGTACAGATTATGATATGCAGTTGAGTGGATAGTTTATAGAGTTTGTTCATTCACATGTAGATGGACGATGGCAAGTGGACAGTAATGAATTGGGCTCACAATTGGGAAATGAAAAAAGTGGGCTGATTTGCCTTTGGAAAGTTCTTTTAATGACCCCAAAATTCTTCCTGAAACAGATTTATCTTAATATCAGTATTCTTTTGTTGGTTGTTACATGGCTTTGAAAAATGGATCACTACATGTTCTGACTAGTTGAAAATTAGTATTACCCAAAGGTCAGTGGAAGGTGTGCATAAATGGCCTGCCCTATACCCAAGCAGTTATGAATGAGGAGTAGAGTAAAGGATGTCATCAAGTAAATCTGTGACCAAAAAAGATGCTCTGGTCCACTAAGACAGTCTTTTTGCTCCAATGACATCCTCCCTATTTCAAGGCAAAGTGAGGAATGTGGATATCTTTGGTGAACTTTATGGGAGCACATGAGGAAAATGCCTACAGAATGGGCAGGTATGAATGGGTTATCTTCTGTATTGTTATAGGGAATATGATCAATTAAGTCATATTTGAATGAGTTAACATTAATGTGCTACATGAATGTTAACTATTATTATTTATAATTTAATCTACAAAAATTTGTATACCAAAAGACAGCTTCCTTTTTTCTGCCTGGCTGTTTGGAACTCTGGTTTATCTAGATAGTTATGCACACTAATTTTTAGTTGTGCAAACTCCTCTCCTTATAGAGTGCCTTATATGTAATATTTTTTTAAAAAGTCTTAACAGACACTGATAATTTTTAATAATTATCACTCATTGAATGAGCAGAACCCATGTTGCTTTACCGAAGTTCACTTATTGTGGTAAATGTAACTTTTTCTTGAAGCAATTGGTTAGTTGTGAAGTTTGGAGAGAAATATGAAGATCATAAAATCATAAGGTTAGAGGGAATCTTAGATATTACTCATTTTAAAGATGAGCACAGTGTACCCGATAGAGTTTGTGACTTTCCAACTTCATATAATCAGTCTATTCAATTTTTAAATTAATTAGTTAATTTATTTTTAGTTTTCAACATTCACTTCCATAAGATTTTGAGTTCTGAATTCTCTCTCCCTTTCTCCTTCCCCAAGACAGAGTGCAATCTGGTACAGGCTCTACATGTACATTCACATCAGACATATTTTCATATTAGTTATGTTGTAAAGAAGAACTAGATCCAATGGGAGGAACCACGAGAAAGAAGAAACAAACAAACAAAAGAGAGCAAATAGTTTACTTCGATTGGCATTCAGACTCCATAGCTCTTTTTCTGGATGTGGATAGCATTCCATCATGAGTCTTTTGGAGTGTCTTAGATTCTTGCATTGCTAAGAAGAACTAAGTTTATCAGCGTTAGTTGTTGCACAGTGTTGCTATTACTGTGTACGGTGTTCTTCTGTTTCTGCTCACTTCATTCAGCATTAGTTCATATAAATCGTTCCAGGTTTTTCTGAAGTCCTCCTGCTCATCATTTCTTACAGAACAATAGTATTCCATTACATTCATAAACCACAACTTGTTCAGCTATTCCCCAGTTGATGGGCATCCCCTCAATTTCCAATTCTTGGCCATCACAAAAAGAGCTGCTATAAATATTTTTGTATGTGTGGGTCCTTTTCCCATTTTTATGATCTTTTTGAGATACAGGCCTAGAAGTGTTATTGCCAGATCAAAGGATATGCATAGTTTTATAGCCCTTTAGTAATAGTTCCAAGTTGCTCTTCAGAATGGTTGGATCAATTCACAACTCCACCAGCAATGTGTTAGTGTTCCAGTTTTCCCACGTCTTCTCTGGCATTTATCATTTTCCTGTTTTGTCTTTTAGCCAGTCTGATAGTTGTGATATCATCAGTCTTTATTAAGTACCTACTGTGTGTCAGGCATTATGTCAAGTTCTGGGAATACATGGATAAAAATGAAAGTCCCTACTGTGAAATGTTTATGTCCTATCAAGGGAGACATGTACATGTATATGTAGAAGATATATATGAGAATGGAAGGCGCTAACAACTAGAGGGAACAGAAAAGACTTTATGTAGAAGTATGTTAAAGTTGAGCTTTGATGGAAACAGGATTTTTGAGGAGGGAGTACATATCAGATATAGTGCAAAAGCATAGATATGAGATGTGTAATATCATGTGAAGAGGAAAGATGCTTTGGTTAGACTATGGCTTGTCCGAGGTGGGGTAATATATAATAAACCCGGAAAAGCAGGTTATAACCAGATCTGAAAAACTTTAAATATCAGACAGAAGAGTTTGTTCTTTGTTGCCCGCAACCAGATTGTACACCGAGCGGAGAGGCGTGAAATTAACTTGAGACATGGGCCAGGCGGAGTAGCAGAACTGACTCAGTTTATTCATCTGAGGGTACAGGATATATAGAGAAAATCTAGCCTAACTTCAAAGAGTCCTCCCCAGAACATCTGCTGAGGACGTGATGACATAAATTTCCTCGTTATCAGGGTTCTAGATTGGGTTGTAATTCCAAGGTTTTCCCAGGCGCCTTGGTGCCACCTGCATAGAGGAGTGAATGTGTAAATCTAAGGTTCAAAGAGTGAGAAGGAATGTCTCAGGAACCTCCTAATCAGGAAGGGATTGGAGAGCCGTACCTCTTAATCATTGAGCCCTTTTGGGTAAAAGCCTGGGCAGAGGTCAAACTCTGCCTTGGATCTTAAACCCTTATCAGACTCTTAAGATCAGCCCTCAACAGTTCTTGATTCTAGTGGAAGTAGGGAACCAGTGACATTTATTAAACAATAATTTGTTTAGACCCGTACTTTTGGAAAATTCATCTGGTGGCCACGTAGAGTATGGATTGAAGAGGGGAGGGATTGAGGCAGGGAGATAAATTGGGAAATTATTACAATAGTCTGGGTGAGAGATTGCAAGGACTTAAACTAGTATGGTTGGTCATATGAGTAGAAAAAAATGAGGTGGGTGCAAGAGATGTTGTGATAGAATCAGTAAGACTTGGCAACTGATTGAATGGGATCAAAGGTGAGAGAGGATGAGAGAATGAGGACTGGAGAATGACTTTCCTCAATTGGGAACCTGGTTTATTGGAATGATTGTAGTGTCCTTGAGAGAAATAGGGAAATTAAGAAAGGAGAGAATGTTTGGGTAAAAAGGTGGAGATTGTGTAACAAGTTAGTGTGTGATATGAAATCTACTCAGGTCATTGACTCCCACTCCAAGCTGACTGGAAAATGTTTTCAGTAATTTTGCTACTGAATTTAAACCAAACACACAAAATTAAATGGAGAATGAATTACCTAGCTTCTTTTAAATCATCTATTAATCCCATGAATTGACCTGCCTATTAAGAGAATTTTATTGGAAACCCTGTGGTTACTATAAGACTTTCTTTTAGATCTATGGCCTCATTTTAAACCACTCAGAGCCTCCATTAAGAATTTTGTTGGTAATTTTTAATGTTCAGTTTACTTAAATGGAAACATTTAAATAGAAACAATAATACCATTGTTAATATTACTTTAAATTAGGTGCTGTACCTATAATTAGATGTTCAAGAGGAACAGCAGCAGAAATGGTGGCAGTGGTAAGTTTTTTTGAATGATTCTTTTCATAAAGAGAATAAGCTATATCCAGTGGTGTGTCTTCTTTCCATGGCTCAGTTTTTTTGTGGATATGTAAAGGCATGGCTCTGTATTGCTTATTGTAGTAGATACTTCTATTACTTTTGGTTTATATAGATAGTACTGAGTGGGATTTAGACCACTTACTCAAATAAAAACTCCAGGTAGAAAACAGTTTTATTCTAGCAAGTCTCTTGAGAGAGTTGGGCATCACCTACCCAGGGAGGACTGGACTAGTGAGGCCCAGCACAAACAGCAGCAAGCAGTTATATGGTCTTAGGCAAACCACTCCAAAAAGCCCCCCTCCCCACTTGTTTGTCTCAATCTCTTTATCCTCATTGGCTGAGGCAAGAGACCTCACAGTCTATATTTAGAACCCAAGAGATACATTTTACTAGCTTGGCAGCTAGAGGGTTGCCTTATTTGGTAAAGTTAAGGCACAAACTAATAGAGGGGTGGTTACAAAACAAGGGAGGGGGTGGGCAGCTGGTGCACAGCCCCCCATTCCCCAAAAACGAAGGTAAAATTTAGGCCCAGCTCATGCTGAAGCCTCCCTATGTTTTGGAGCATAGCTTACATTTCACATGAGAAACTTTCACTTGTCCCACACAGTTCCCCCCTCTCATTTCATAGTTGAAAGTTTCTCACACCAAAACTGGTAGGTTTCTTCGGTTTCCCTGTTGGCTATTTCATCAAAATTGGGCCTTCCTTCCTCCTGATTAACTGTCATACCCTTGATTCTTCAATATCATTAGTCTAATAGACTCACTGACAGGTTCTTTTAATGTAATCATTCTAGAGAGGGTCTTTTGTACAGTAGTAGTAATTAATTGCTTCATGCAGGGGACACTCAGTGGGAGTAGTATGACTCCACTTATTGCTATTAACACAAACCATAATACCTGCTTCCACCAAGATCCCCCAAACCAGGAACACCAGGGAGTATTAAATGAAGAGGACCAGGTCTGAACCGGAACACAGGCCATCTTTCGAATTTCCTTATTAATATCTCTAATGGTTTGTGCCACATCATCTATTTTCATACAACAAGTGGACAGGTTCAGCTCCCTGCAGACACCTCCCTCCTCAGCTAAGAGATAATTCAAGACTAACCTGTGTTGTAAGATAGCTTCCCTTCTTTGGTCTACAGAAACAGACAAGAGGTCAGTAGCCATAGAAGTTTGATTAGTGATAATTTCCACCACTGCTTGGAGTCTAATTATTCTGTTAAGTATATATATATCGGGGTCCGATATCCCCAGCTCCCATCTTGTGCCCAAGTAGCAGGTCCATATTCTTTTATGATCCTTTCAGGGGGCCAAGTATTTCCCCATCCATTTGCATTTCCCATGCTACAATAGAGGTATCAATGGCTTGCTTGTTCCCTTTTAAATCATCATATACTTGTACCCCCAGATGTTTGCCTCCTTGTCCCAGGAGGGAGAATTTAGGTCGAATTAGTTGTATTGTGAGGAGACATACCAGGAGTAGGACAATAATTCCTCTCAAATCTTACAATCTAAGAATTTTAGAAACACAATACAGTTTAGAAACAATAATTACTTTTGTAATACAGACTGTAAACTTCAGATAATATCAGTTGCATCTTCATATCATCACATATAGAAATTATCATTCTTATGATATCTTTAACAATTGGCACTCTTGGTACCTTTCGCAATCACATTAAATAATTCAAATTCTTCTCCGCTCTTTTTCTTCTCTCTCTCTAACCATCACCCCTTTAAGTAAATATAGGTATTAATCTAAACATTGACAAATCAAAGGAGCAGTCCCTTCATAAATGCAGATACAGAGACCCAAAAGAAAACAATAGTGTAATTGTCCCTTTAAGAACCAAAAAGTCTTTTCTTATACAGCTGTCTGGCAGGGAACACCATCAGTGAAGTCCTCTTGTCCTTGGTATTTGCTCCAGCCATCTCTAGCACAGCATCTCAGCATCCTCCTCCTCTTGTCTTCTTGCAGGAACCAGCTTTCTGTCCATTCTTCTGTAAAAGGGACCTTTGCACAATTTTAAATTACTATTTCTAATCTTTATAACCCTGATCATTTCACAGACTCAAAATTGGAACCGTGGCCAATTATCATGTTAAGAAATTCACATCAGAACCCAGTGTCTTGTACTTTACATTAATCTATGGAATTAATCACAGGCTCCAGTACATACATATCAATTTTTATCACAGTATATATAAAATCTTAAAATTTTAGTCATGCCTTGTTTCTTTGATGGCATTTCCACAAGCCATTCTTTTTTTTAACATTATTAATCAATGGTGACAAAACTTTAGATGAGTATGATATTATCCAAATAACAAAATAACATTCTCACAAGCCCCTGATTATCTCCATACCATTACCAAGAATTAAAAGACCCTAACTCATACAGGAACACTAGTCCCAGTTCTATAATAACCTAAGATGCTCCATAATCAATTATCTTAGTAAATTTGTTAAATCTTCTGATTATAGAAACTTGCTATTGAAGGAAAAAGAGCAGGGACATGTGATGTATCACGTATGACAGGATAAAACATCCTTAGCTTTGTTTAAATTCAGATGGAGTTGCAGTTCTCCAATCATGAAGTATCTGTTCCATCTCATAGCCAGACTCAGAAATAGTCAGGTGGGAAACATTCCTTTCCAAAGGAACACAATGGGGAAACTGAGCCAGGAGGATCCCATCCTAGATTGAGGCTAAGATTGTCCCCTCGGCTTTTTCCCAAATAAATCACATTTCCTCTAATTCCTGTTCTTGTGGCATTTCTCTCAGATACTGATTTAATGCAGACAACTATACTCAAATTCAAACTCAAAACAAAATTAGTTATAGTCCCAAAAGGCTTTTTTCCTCAAACAGCAAGTCTCACAAATCACAGCCTAAAGCCAGATATAGTTACTTTTATTCTCGTGGAGTTGCAATAAGGATTTACCAGGACTCACATGCATAGGAGATCTCACTTTACATCTTTCCTTCTCAAATTTAAACTTGCCCTGGTATAAAAGCCAATCTTCCAAAATCATTTCTATCTACTGTACATAAACTTGCAACTTTCCAGCAAACTAAGTTCATTGTCTAGGAACTGCATAATCCTAACAAGTTCTTTTCTCAGGGCAGATAATCTTGCCCCCTTATTTGGGTCAAGACCCCCCATTGCTACCCCTTTGTCCACATTCACAAATAAGTGAAAGGGTATCTCCAGTGAGGGGAGTGTCAAAACAGGAGGGGAGGTAAGGACCTCCTTTAACTTCTTAAGTCCCCCCCCCTTCAGGGCCCCATCTAATTTGTTCTGGTTCTTCTTCCAATAAGTATTGGTACAAGGGTTTTGTGAGGGACGCATTTGAATCAATCTAATTCTACAGTATCCTACTAACCCCAGGAACTTTCTGAGTTCCCTTTTAGTTTTTGGGAGGAGAGTTTGAAGGATTTCTGCCACCTGCTCTGGGTCCAGCTTCTTCTGCACCTCACTTATTAAATGTCCCAGATATTTCACCTCTCGTTCCATGAATTGTAATTTATGTTTGGAAATCCTCATACCTTCTGATCCCAAATAGTTTATCAATTTGATCAAAGCCTCACTGGTTTCTATTCTCTTTTTACCTGTCACCAGCAAATCATCTACATATTGTAATACCTATGTCCCAAGGGGAGCTCTAAACCCTTCCAGGATTCTCTCAAGGACTTGTCCAAACAAATTTGGTGATTCGGTGTACCCCTGGGGCAGGACACACCACCTATACTACTGCTTCCTTCCAGTCTCAGGATCCTCCCACTCGAAGGCAAAGATATCCCTACTACTAGGGTCTAAGGGACAGGCCCAGAATGCATCTTTTAAATCAAGTACACTGAACCACCTACTGTCTTCATTTACTCTTCCCAAAATCATGTAGGGGTCAGGGACCACTGGGTGGGATGGTAGTACAACCTTGTTAATTTCCCTTAAATCTTGGACTAGTCTATATGTTCCATCCCCTTTCTGGACTGGCAAGATGGGAGTATCAAAGGGGGAAATACAGGGTTCAAAAAGTCCCCCTTCCAGTAGCCCCTGAATCACCTATTATAATCAGGTCAGTTTAAAAATGTGCTAGACCAGTATTCTGACTACTTTTTGCTTTCCCACAAATAACCAATCTCTTTACCATAGTCAGTATCCATATTAGATCTAATAGAACCCACCCACGGATCTAGCCTGAAAGGTGGATGGACATAATTCCTTCCATCTCTGCATAACTTTTTATCTATTGGTTTTTAAATTAGGCCAAAAAAAAGAATTTTATTTTTCCATTTTTCTACTTTAAACAGACCACTTCCTCACACCTTCTCAACTTACTTAAACCATCTAAAGCTGTTCAGCTTTCTTTTTGCAAATCTGAAGGGAGATAATTGAATAGGGCTCTCCTTCCCTCTCTCTTCCCAAACTGCTTTTACAGCTTTACTATGCATTCTAACTAGTCACATCTAATTAAGGAATAGGTGTTAACATTTTTAGTGTCTGCCCTCTGCTAGGCGTTGTGTTAGGTACCTTCCAATTATGTGAAATAAACTGAGGTCCCAATTTACTTTAGTGCCAAACATGTAACAAATTCCAACTTAAGCATTAGATTAAGAGCATCACATTTCATTTTAAATATTACCAGAATGAATTAAATTACTTTTTGATTGTGTTCCAGTACACAAAAACTTCTCTCTTTTATGAGAGGCAGAAAAGATTAAGTGCTACCTCTCTCTTTGATCTGAAGGGAAAAGGTTCCCTTTTTCCCTCTTTGTCTCCATACTCAAATTTGGCCAGAATTAGAATGCAGAGAGAGAGAGAGAAATTATAATTTTTTTTTTCCAAAGGTTTCAAAACCCTCTATTCACACTGTGCAAATAAATTATACCTTCCTTAAGCTTTCTACAGTACTCCCTCTCCTACAAGCTTAAACTTTCTTGCCTTTCTTTTTAATGGACTTTGATTAAAGTCCCTTTAAAACTGCACATATCTTATTTCTTTCTAATTCTGACCTGACACTTCAAAAATCCTTCTCAACTTGCTTTTTACCAATCACATAATAAAGTAATTTTTCTCTCTTTCTCTCTTCCATCCAGCCCCACCCCTCTGAGGCTGCTGTTATCAGTGAGTAAGAGGGGAGAGAAAGAAAGCCGCACTTCAGAGTCCAGCTGCAGCACTCGGAATGCTTTTCTTGCCAAATCCTTTACTATCAAACACTGTTAACACTCATTCACAGCACGCACAGACACAAACACAAAAAAGAAACTAGACATACAACAACCATCCACCCTGTAGAATCTTCAAATCATCAAACCATATCCAATCATTTTCCTTTTATCTTTTCCTGTATATCTTGGTAGTCCACTCCAATTCTGCAACTGATTGCCTAAAGGACTGTCTACAGGTACCTCAAATTTGCACTCCAACTGTGCAGATTTGTATTGTCCCTTATATTTGTGCTCCAACTGCACAGATTTAGATTGCCCCTTACATTCCTAGGGACCCCCTAGGCCCTCACCTAGGGAATTTATGGGAGCCATCACTGAACTCCCTGAGTCTAAAGATAGACTCAGCCGAATCACCGAGGAGGGTTGCCCACTCCTCACCAGTCACCCATGAAGCTTTCTCAGCGGCGTCCTTCCGATGAGGTATCTATTTCGCTATTTGACTAGGCCCAGACTCTGCCCAAACTAGAGTCCATCCTAAAGGGCCCTCACCCTGTGCCAATTACCTCCAGACCCCTGAGTGCTTACTTTTGGGTTGCACGCATACAACATACGTGACTGCTCTCACCCACTGGCCGGCCAGAATTTCACAGTTTCGTCCCTAATCGTCAGAGCCCTAACAAACCTTCTGTTTCTCTGAGTCCCTCTCTTCGGGTGTATTTTAAAGACTGGGTGGTAACCTCCCTCAGGAGCTCAAGACCTTCGAGAAATCTCAGATGCGAGCTTGGTCTTGACCTCGGCAAGGGAAGCCCCCTCCCTAATCAAAGAAAACACTGGACGATCCCCCACTGAGTGGGATTTAGACCACTTACTCAAATAAAAACTCAGAGGTATCTCCAGGTAGAAAACAGAAGGTTTTATTCTAGCAAGTCTCCCGTGAGAGTTGGGTGTCTTCTTCCCAGGGAGGACTGGAGTAGTGAGGCCCAGCACAAACAGCAGCCAGCAGTTATATAGTCTTAGGCAAACCCCCTCCCCACTTGTTTGTCTCAGTCTCTATCCTCATTGGCTGAGGCAAGAGACCTCACAGTCTATATTTAGAACCCAAGAGATATATTTTACTCAAAACTAGCTTGGGAGCTAGAGGGTTGCCTTATTTGGTAAAGTTAAGGCACAAACCAACAGAGGGGGTGGTTACAAAACAAGGGAGGGGGTGGGCAGCTGGTGCACAGCCCCCATTCCCCAAAAACAAAAGTGAAACTTAGGCCCAGCTCATGCTGAAGTCTCACTATATTTTGGAGCATAGCTTACATTTCACATGAGAAATTTTTACTTGTCCCACACAGTACTAATTGATATATTAAGTATTTTGATATATTTCATTTTTTCTACTTTACCTGTTTCATCACAACCTACATTTCCACTTTTATCCTTGTTCTTCATACGTAGTTTTTTCAGCTCTTCTATTTGACTTGCATTAATGTCAGCCCAACATGCTTTGCTCATTCCTCTCCTACAACAAAGAATTGCATCTTTCTTCATTGTTTTTTGTTTATTTAAAAAAGTTTTTGGCCTCAGACACTTATTAGTTATGTGAACCTCGGCAATGACACCCTGATGCCGCTGCCCCCACCGCCAAAAAAAAAAAAGTTTTTTGAAGCATTTTGTTTTTACGTGATAGCCATTTCATGATAGCTGTATCCTACCAGGGTTGGGGAAACTGTGGCCTCACGGACCATCCGGGGGGGCAACCTGCGGCCTCAAAGCCACCTGACCCTCTAGGTCCTCAAGTGTAGCCCTTTGACTGAATCCAAACTTCACAGAACAAATCCACTTAATAAAAGGATTTGTTTTGTAAAAGTTGGATTCAGTCAAAAGGCTGCACCCAAGGACCTAGAAGGCCAAATGTGGCTTCCAGGCTACAAGTTCCCTTTCTGCCTCCCTCCCCAAGACGGTGTGCAATCTCATATAGGCTCTACATATACTTTTCTATTAAACATATTTTCACATTAGCCATTCCGCAGGTATTTCTTAACCATCTACTATATGCTCTTGGCACTGTGGATAGAGAGAGAAAAAAAGAGCCAGTCCTTTCTCTAGGAGTTTTCAGTGGAGGGAAGTAACATGTACACTGATTAGTAAATACAGGATATACAGAGTAGTGGGAGAAATTTGGGAACAATCTGCAACCTAACAGTTGCAGAGATAAGGAAAGCCTTCATGTAGGAAAAGCTTGAGCTGAGCTCTGAAGGGATCTAGGAATTTTAAGAGGTAAAGGTAAGGAGGGAGAGCATTCTGGGCCATGGGGACAACCTGGGCACAAAAGCACAGAGTGGGAGAGGGAATCTCCCATTGGGGAAGAGCAAGGAGGCCAGCTGGCTGAAACATAATTTGTGACAGAAATCATCATAGAAAGGTACATTGGAGTAAGTTTGTGGCTTTTAAAAATATTTTCCATTTTTATTATGAACTTAAGCAGCAAACACAAACATCTCAAAATATGAAAAACAAGGGAAAGTACTGTATTTAAAAAAACTAGTGCTTTTTTTTTTGAAGAAATATGTTTTAAGTTCACAATAAAAAAAAGGATTAGATTTTTAAAAGGCAGAAGGTCCCCTTTTGCATTTTTTTTTGTGCATTAAAAAAATTAAGCAGTAATCCAACTTATTGGTTGATTGTGTGTAGTCAGGTACTATTATTAACAGTTTTCAATTGCACATCTGGGCATCCCAGTTTCTGATACCCAGGGCACTTCTGGCCTTTCTGAGATGAGCTAGGTATTTAGCTTGCTGATCAAAATAATTCACCTGGAGGCGTAAATGTGCCTTGGTCCTCTGGGTCATTTATCTTCTGAATTAAGGAATTTCTTAAACCCAACGATAAAATCAGTGGATCTGTGATATATATAGAATGTGTGTGGGAGATTTTTTTTTTGGAGTGTGGTCCTCAGGTGCTCTTTGCTGCTTCCATCCACTGCAACACCTTACCTGCTAAGCCCCTGAGCTCCATCCTAGTCAGCTACACTTGCAAACTGTTCTTTCCCCAGCCTCAACCCTCATCTCTGCAAATAAGCTTACATCTTTTAAGCTTTAGTAAAACAAAGTCAGTTCCTCGTGATAGAGCATAAATAATTGTCAGAGTTCAGGTAAAACTAGAAGTTTCTGAAGTTTCTGCTTGTCCTTTAGAGCTATGTGACTGAATGAATTGATGGCATCTCAGTGTTCTCTAAGAGTGTCATGAAAAAGGAGCTTTGGCCTCATTAAATAAGTGCCTACCTTAAAGGCTCTTTAGTAAAAAGTTAATAATTGTATATAAATAACAGAAAAATATAGCATATTTTACATTAGCAGTAGCGTTTTCTTTCATAGGGAAATTTGCATGTTTAATACCATTTATGTAATCTTTATATCCATTTTGTAAAAATGCACTTTTAAGAATGAATCCCAAATTTTATTTTTTTCCCCCAGAAACTAGATAAGAAACTTCGAGAAAATCTAAGAGATGCAAGAAACAGCCTTTTTACAGGTGACACACTTGGGGCTGGCCAGTTCAGGTATTATATTTGTTTGTATTTTGCTTATGGTGGCTGAAAAATAAGATATTACTACTTTTACTCTCATTCGAGATTACTTTCCCATTTTCTGATGTAAAGCCAAAATATGGTCCTTTTAAACTTATAATTGCTATCAGGTTTTTTAAGATATGAAATCCAAAGTTTTGGTGAAATACTTTAAAGAATATAATATTGATTCTAGCCAAATGAAATTTATAAGGATTAGATGGCCAGGGTATAGTGTATGTTAATACTGATAAAGGAGAATGCACAGTTTTAAAATCACCACATTTTTCGTGCTTGTGCAAATACTACCTACTCAACTTTATAAATTTTCCAATATTTCTAGATGGAAAGCTCGAATTCATAGACTTTAAATTAATCCTTAAGATGTGGGAATGGAGTCTTGTTAAATAGTTGCCTTTCTTTGGTAGAAAATTCACTTGCAGTTATTATCTTTCAGAAGAAAGCCTAGTTCTGGTAGTGTGTCTTTGAAGTTGAGAAGTATTTCTCTGTAGTGGTCATTTTAACTCACTTGGTGATGAAAAAAAATCCATAGAAAGTGTGTAATGCCATTATCTGATTCTTCTTTTATAGATTCTCATTTGTAGTAGCAAAGGTCTGGTACAACAGGAGAGCATGAAATCAAAAGCATCAATTATTTAAATGAGAAGTTGTCCCTGTTAAGATGCTTTTGAGTTATGGATTAGTTGTATTTCAAGCATGAAGACATTGACTAATCATATGATGGAGAGAGTTTTATTAAATTATAAATTATGATATAATCAATTTGATTATAAGCCACAATAATGGAGGGAGCATTGGGCTGAAGGTTTAAAATAATAAAACGGTAGGTAATCTGCTTGAGTTGACTCACAATTGTATACACAGGGGGAGATGGCTTTGGGGCAGATTTTTCCCCTTCAATCCTAAACCTAGCTAGTCTTGAGTAATTGAGAAAAACTGTCTTCCAGCATCCATTTCATCAGCTCAAACTACTTCTTGCCTTGTCCATACCCCTTGACCCAGATTTGGTCTTTATATAGTAAAGGATTATGCTGTTACTCTAATAATGTGGAGATTACAAGATCATTATATCTTAATATTTGCAATATATTATGTAATATGTGCAATATGTATCTTCCTAAATTTTATTTTTATGCTTTATCTTATTTTAAATGACATGCAATTTTAGGGAATCAGTAGGAAATCATTTGGTAATAAAAATAATTGCCCCCTAATTTTATTCTTTTTTTTGGAGGAGCTTAAATCCAGATAATCGTGTTACATGTTTGTTTAAAGTAGAGTATAACTTTTTTTTTTTTCTGTAGGCAAACTTTAGAATCATTTGAGCTTTTTCCTGGCTCATTAGTTCCTTTAAATTGTTCTAAAGTTTCATCAGTAGTTGTAAATATGTTTTTAAAAGCAGCTACTGGAAACAGAATTTCTAAAAGCAAATTCTCATTTAAGGTTTATTTTAACTAAATATTTTAAGGATCTCTAATTTCTTATCTGAACTTAGATTCTACATCAGCGCAGATCACAACTTCTTTATGCTTTAGTAAAATGTTTTTAATGAATTACTGTGGCTACAACAGTTCATCATCTGATGACCAGCCCTCTGGTAATAATTCTCTCCCAACTTAGCCCTGGTCCTTAGGAAATAAATATGTTTAATTATCAGCTTCATGATTGAAGCATTTCTAGTCTCTAAGAAATCCCAGAACTTGTGCTCTTTTGCCATAACCTTCAAGAACTTTAGTGTCCTCTCCGTAAAATGAATTGTTATTAGAGTAGTGGATTAGGAGATACATTTTTAAAAAGCCAAAACATCTGTGAAATAACTAGCTTACTAAGTCTTTTAAAAAATTTTCTTGCCAGTTTTGCAAATCTTTTAAATTTGAGACCAAAGTGAGAGCAATAGTTTTTTTAGTTTAATTTTTTTAAAGTATAGATATTGATGATATGATTATACATGTCTGAATTTTAAATCTTCTTGCACAAAATTACCAATCACATGTCTTTTTGGCTGTTGTTTTTAAATTATTTTTAATGGAGGTAGTATCTTAATGAGAATATTTTATCCTTATCCTCATAGTCATAGGTATTTTATAATGGTTTATTGTTTGCCTTCTGTAAGAGAAAACCAAATAAGGTAAATATCCTTCATGCATAGAATTTGTAATAATAATAATAATCTAAAGCATTTCTTAACCTGATTTAATAATTTCAAAGTCTTATGATCCTTTGGTAATGACATAATTGTTCTCTGCATAAAAATAACTAAATACTAAAAAAAAATTAGAATTTTCTACATATTTCCATACATATCATATCAAGAATTATAAATATTTTTCATTTACAGTTTCCAAAGGCCTTTATTAGTCCTTGTTGACAGGAACATAGATTTGGCTACCCCTTTACATCATACTTGGACATACCAAGCCTTGGTGCATGACGTTCTGGTAAGAGACTAACTACATCACTTAGTACTGAAGTATAGTAGTATTCATGGCCATTTAGTGTAACATCATTACACCATTACTAATACATAGATTATATGTGCTAGTCATTAATAAACACATAGACAAATATTCCTGTGCTGAAGTTATAACAAAAGATTTGTTCCGTAATTCAAAGTAACTACTAGTAAGTCAAATAAACCTTGTTATTTTGAGTAAATTAAGGCCATTTTCATTGCAGAATATTTTCAAATAGGTGAAATTCCATTAAAGTATAAACAGTGACTGGAACTAATTATTAAGGATTTTTAAGTAGGGGTCCACCAGACCTCTTTACAGTACTTTTATTAAGTTAACTATGTTCCCTAAAATCATCTTTATATAATACAGTAAAATCTCACCTATGTCATGGGTATTCAAAGGAGTATTCTGGTTAAAATAATTTCCTAGCTGTTGGGAAATTAATTCATTTATATGATCAAAACTCTATGGGCAACTCTACTTAGGATATAGTAATTTATAATTCTGGGATTCTCTTGTATTTATCTACAGTTATATTGGTGGATCGCCAAATTATTCATTTTTAGAAATGTGCCTCTTAGTTTCAGGTCTTCATTTTAATAATAATACTATCAATTGTAAAATCAACACACTAAAAGGAAACTCACAAAAATTCAAAGTGAAATTTATTTCTGATGATTTTAGCTTGGTGGAATAAACTCATAGGAAAAATAACCTTTCTTAAAACTTCACAGAGCCAATGTGTTTAGAAATCCTGGATAAATGTTAAATGCTTCAAAAATAAAGTTTTATTACAAATGTAAGAAGTTAATAGTTCTGAAAAACAGTAAGACAAAAGGAGAGTATTAAAGCACTCTCCTTCAATGTATCCATGATTTCCTCCTTCTGAATATTTGCTCTACAAGTGCTGATCACAACTCATCTAAGTCTTATCATGTTGTTTGATTCTTGTGCATGTCTTTCCATGAATCCTTCATAGATGAATCTTCCCAGTAAGCTAGAAGCCTCTTCCGGCTTCTTGTAATGTTTTATGAATGTCAAATACCCAAGCCATTGTCTCATCTACCTCCCTTTTAAAAATAGTTGTTGGTCTTCTATTCTTTTTTTTAACATTATTGCCATTTCTCAGCCCCACAATAGAGTCCTGTCATATCAAACAAATACATTCAGGCAAAACAGACCGTTGCATTGTTCATATCTGAAAATGTTTGCCTCACTCTTCACCCCTTTTATAGTAAGTGGATGCTTCACTGTTGAATCCTCTGACATTATTAGAGTTTAGAAGTCTTTCAGTCTTGGTTCCTTTGTGTTCCCATGGTCATCATGTAAATTGTTCTTGGTTTTGCTTATTTCACTCTGTATCATTTCCTTGAATTCTTCATATTAGTCATTCCATATGGCACAATAGTATTCTATTTCATTCATATACCATAGTTTATTTAGCCATTACCCAAATAAAGGGCATTTATTTTCTTACTGGTTTTTGGCTATTTAAAAAAAGTGCTGCTGTATTTTAGTGTAAATGAGACCTATTCCTCTGACTTCCATTGCTCTTTGAACCACTTACAATTTTGATTCTTCTGAAAATCTTAAAGTTCCGTGATTCATAGCCATATAGCATCACCAGGAGAGTATCGTTGTTAAAAAGGTGAGCTTTTATTGTAGGAAGCAGTTTCGAGTCTTTGAAAATTCTCTGTAATTTCTGAAATGAGGTTTAGCCTATTTCTGCATTCAGTGAATATTTTCTTCCATGAGGGAGTTGGGAGGCACTAATCGTGAAGAGTAGCAAATACTTTAGTGAATTTTTTTTTTAATCTCACGGATGTGAGTGCTCCCTAAAACGGTACATATTATAACCATCCATGTCCTCATAAATCTCCCACACAGGGTCCACCCGGTTTTCTGGTGCCCTTCCTTTCAATCTCTTGATATTGTGTAAATACCAGTGGGATGTGCAGTCTTTCCATTTCTTTTTTTCTCTCAAAATAAAATATTTCTTCATGGTCATCTTAGTCGTGTCAGGCTCTGTAAATAAATGGTGTAGGCAGAGGGCCTGCCTGGTCCTGAGTAGAGTGGGCCAGACCAGGTCTCTCCTTCAGGGGACTCAGGGTCTCATGGGTTTCTTATCACAGGGTTCTAGGACCTCTCCCTGCTGTATGTTCCACCTGAGGACTTCCTCCTCTAGTGTTGGCTTCAGAAGTTATTCCTGTGTTGGATTCCCACCACAGGCTTCTGGGCCTACTTGGACTGGATTTTGCCTAGGAACTTTCTTCTGTCATGTATCTGAGACAACTAGGCCTCATTGGACCCTACCTGGAACACCCTGAGGATATTCTCTGTGCTACTCTTTGGCTGCATAGACCCTGTTGGGATTGGACTAGCCTTAGACTCTATTTCACAGAATTTTCTGTACTGTCCGCTTCTGGATCACCCAGAGACTTCTTCCTTCTGAGCTGAACTGATGCAACCAGCCATGGGTTTGAGGAAGGGAGTAGTCTGGGATTGCCATGTTGGATCCATTAAGTATGCCCTAAAGTTACTCTTCTGCTGGCAAAGGCCTTGGGGACAACTCTGAAGCCTAGCTAGGCTTGGCTGCTCTTGGGTGCTGCTGAGCTCAGGCACGAAGTGTTGAGACCACCTTAAAGGCTCCAGAGGTGTTTGCCAGCACTCTTCCTATTGCACTTTTGACTTGTTCTACTGATAGAGACTAGCTTGTTTTCCCCAGCATTGCTGCAGAAAGTCAGGGATTCCTCTGTCAAGTCCTGTGCTTGGGTGGTGAGGTTGAGAAATTATTTTCTTCTATGGCCTAGTAGAGTGGTGCATCTCTAAGCCCTGATGGATTGTTTTTGGGGCATCTAGGATGACATGTAGCCGTTTCCCCACAATCCCTGTTGGTTATCTCCCTCTGCTCCTGTAATATTAGCATACTTTCTTTTCTCTCTCTGATAATACCTTATGTTCCTCCTATATAAATCTTCATTGACAGTGTGTTGTAGTATCAGGAAATAGTTGGTTGCAAGTGTAGTATTCTTTTCAGAATTAGCCATCTATGTGTGTAGTCAGATCACTGACCAGGAAAATATTGGTGTTTAAAGAAAAAAAGATGGACTTGCAGCTTGGAAACATTGAAATCTTGAGGTAGTTTTCCATATGTAATCTAGATTCCTGTCTTCCTGTTCAATTCTGGCTGCAGTGTATTGTCCATCAGTAGTGATTGCCCAAGTTATACCTACTGTCTCAATGAATTACCCATCCAATTATGTAAACAAGTTGTCTTCCATCACATATATTAAGATTGTGGTATTCACCATTTTTAGTGCCTTCAGATTCTCTTCTGGAAGAGAATATTTGTCGTATACAGACAAGAGATTTCTGAAGTATCTAACATCCTAAAACCTAAAATATAGTTTGTATTCCTGGTCGACTTAGAATGTGATTTTCCCTTGGATGTGCTTATTTGTCTTTTGTGTGTGTGTGTATGTGTTTTATTTTTTTGTAACAGTCCTTTCTTCTGGCAGAAAAGTCTTTGAAAATGAAAATACAAATTATAGCCAAGCTTCACAGAGCCATAAACATCTCTGAATTGGTTGGTGAGCAATACCACTTTTGTTTTCTGTTTTTAATTTTTATTGATTATATTTTGCTTTTATATCTCTTTCCTTTCCAAATATATCCTTCCAGCTCTCCTCCCCAGTGTCGTCTCTTGTAACAGAAAATTTAAAGAGGTGTGTGTGTATAGGGGGTTGTAATTCAGCAAAATGAACTTGTACATCAACTAAATCTGACAGTATACATAATATTACATTCCCATAGTTCTCTACTGCTGCAGAAAAGAGTGGGAGGTGCATATTCTCTTCTTCATATTATTATAAAGAAAACAGTATTAAGTTCAGTTTCTTTTTTGTTGTTCTCCATTTACATTATTGTAACTATGTGTACTGATTTCCTGTTTCTATTTACTTCACTTTGCATCATTTCACCTAAGTCTTTCCATGTTTCTCTGTATTCTTCATGTTCATGGTTTTTTATAATGTAGTAACAATTATGTTTATGTAGTACAGTTTGTTTAGCCTTTCCACAATCATTAGAATTTTTGGCTGCCGTAAAAAGTGCTTCTGTTACTATTTTGATACATATGGGATTTTTTTTCCCTATTGTTGACCTCTTTGGGGTAAATGTCTAGCATGGTTCTCTGGGTCAAAGAGAATACATATTTTAGTCATTTTCTTAGCATAATGCCACTTGTGCCTGTCTGTTTTTTCACTTCAACATTACTATTTCCATTTTTTTCATATTTGCAAGTTTTCTGGGAGAGAGGTGAAACTTCAGAGTTGTTTGATTTGTATTTTTCTTACTAATAATTTGGAGAAATTTTTCATATTGTGCATTATTGGGCCCTACTAAGCACAGTAGAGTTTAAAAAGGAAATATATGAGGTTGTTCCTAATTACAGTCTTTTTGGAAGAGAAGAAACTTAAGCACATGAAGCTCTTAGAACAATAAAGTGAAATGTTAAGTTGAGTATAATGTTTTATACATCAAATAATTGTTATTGCTGTTTAAAAAGAAGAGAACTTAGTAAATAGCAGAGAAATGCACATTATAAGCATTAATTTTTCTGTTTCGTACATTTTAATCTGCCTTTTTCTTTTGGGTTTTCTGTGAGTTCGTCAATACTTATATGAATCCCTGGCTATCCCCTTCTTCAGTACAATTTACATCCAAGCTCATCCTGTGAAATGCTTGTCTTTATTCTCGTACAGACTCACAATATTATATTACATACTGTGTACGTCTGTTAATATTTTGTGGGTACCCAGTGCAGCATTCAGACTTATTTTTCTTTAAATCCAAAAGTGCTGCTAGAAATATTTTTGTATGTATGAATCCTTTCCTCCTTTCTTTGACAGTTTCTTTGGATTATATATCTAGTAATGGTATTAGTGGTCAAAGCTTATGTACAACATAGTGATATTTTGGAT